TCGTAACTCTATAGACAACCGATCGAACCGATCGATATCAAACTCCAACAACACGAACGATCACGATGTATGTTTTTCAAACCCGTCTTTGTCAGTATGTATTGTTGTCAGTATTTAGCTTACCTGTGCAGCCTGTGGTGCTTCCACGTGAATCCCAGCGAATTTCGCTGAGGGCATTTCTTCGCACACTCCTAGGGAACCCCGATATTGCTCGTTCAAAGGCGATGGAAGAGTTTCTAACCCATCACCATATCACACCTAGCGATGACGACGTCACTGATATCGACAGGCGAAGACTGATGGACGAGAAAAGATTGAAAGAGCAAAATAAGTTCTATGAAATTGCTCGGAAACGAGCTGCTGAATTGAATATATACATGGAAGAGTGGGTCAAGATATATGTCTGCTAAAATTGAATACTAACTGTGACAGGTTTCGCCGAGACATTATTGAAACTAACGGCTTGACCAAACTATTCAAGGAGATCAAGGTCAAGGAGAGCATCCAAGATATGAGCTTGCAATATCAGAAGTTCTGCGAGTGGCTGCGAATCGAGGTTGCAGCCACCATATATCATCTATTCCTTGCCGAGGATAACTCCCCCGAGGTGTTTGCGCAAGTCAAGAAGGTCCATTCCATGATTCCTTACACTTTAATCAAGAACGCAATCCGGATAGCGAATCCAGCTGCGGTGATGTCTAGCATTCTGGACATATTCCTTGCCCAGCCATTTGGTGCACGATCACTGATGCAACGAATCTTCAGCATGGCACTAAACGAAGGGGTAAGAGCTTATCAGAAGTCGATTGATTCTTTGATCAAGAACATTGATGAACCCGTCTTTTCTGATAGGTTGAGGAAATTCACGTACGCCGATGAAGTGATCAAGAACATCATCCGCGCTGAATCCGAGGCGGATCAAGTGGACTTGATTGTTTCTATTCTTCGGAGTGAACTGATCGAGCCACCATTGAATGGACCACAGATCGGAAAGATTTTCAATGCCTATGTCGCCTGGAATAGCGCCGTGGATAACGTTGACAATGAGATGAAGCAAGGGGCTCACCTTTTCTCATATCTAAAGCAGCTCCTCAAGCTGTACACGCGACAGCGCGACAAGTCGATGCTGCTGGGGTTGATCGAAGAGCCTGTCACCCTTCAGCTTCTCCGCGACCTGTTTACGATATTCTACGAGCCACTCGTTAGGGTGTATAAATCCGCCAATGTTTACAACAGCGTGACTGATTGCTCGGTTTTCATTGATGATATGATACAAGCAAGTCTACCGATTGCATCAGAAGATACATTACTGACTTAGCATAGGTCGTCGACAAATGCCACGAGCAGGACATAGCTACGGATCCGAATCAGACAGTTCAAGCGTTTATAGATCTCTGCCAGCGTCACGAACACAATTTCTACAAGTTTGTCCATGAAGTCCATCTCCACGACGACGGGCTTTTTGAAAAACTCATGGGTTGGATAGAAGGCATTTTGGAATTCCTGCGCCAAGGTCCAAAGGGTGGAAAGCTCGACATCAATGCCCTCTTTGCCGGCGCTGCATCTGTTAATCAAGTAGACCCTGTGAAGGTAAAGAAAGAAGTTGACGAGCTCATTGCGTGGCAAGAAGCCAGGAAACAATGGCATAATGAGAAGACCCGCCAAAAGATGGCCGCCGATGGGACTGGTACTAAACCTGAAGCTGTCCCGGGAGGCATTGCGTTCAGCAGTAGTGATTTTGGAATAGATCAGACAGATCTAGAGGATATGGATTACAGCGAAGAAGACGTAGATGACGAGGAGGAAGACGATGATGAGTTGGATCCAATCACAGCGGAGCGGAAGAGAAGAGCCAGGAGGCAAGACATCCTCAGGAGGACCGCTGGAGAACCCCAGAAGCCAGAGGTTTCGGAAGTTCATAAGTTGCAGGAAAATTTCGTCAGCATGCTGAGAATGGTTCTCTCAGATTGAGAACTGAGTGGTTTATACACTCATAACAGATGGGATTTGTGGTCTGTATGTAAATAGTACTGGAGAAAGGGGTGATACTGAGAATGTATAGGCTACTTATTCTAATGAGCGAGTGTGTGAATATCATATGTTTTCCTGTCGAGAATCTGCCCATTGAGAGTGATCACAGAACTCATGATTGACAATATGCGTCAATCGACTAGTATTTGCGTATTAAATGATCAACCTTTGATAACTGGAGGAAAGTCTAAAGTTAACAATAGAAAATAAACAACTATTAAAAGGGCAAGCACTTGATATTAAATCGGTACTTTCATTGTCCCCCAAATAGTCGGCCAAATAGTCGGGAGAAATAGGTTGCAATGGACCGTAAAAGATTCTCGGCTTTCCGTCGGCAAGCGTGTCAAGCTCTAGCCAATAGTAGCGAGCCTATTATGCTCTAGCAATTCGTGGACCTTGGGAATACAACGACGACATCAAACATCGCGATCTACTTCCGTTCTCCTTCCCCACGAGTGACATTCCTTGACAACCCTCGGTCCTGGTGTCAAGATAGTCCAAATGTCTTCAATCGCTATGCGCCGCTTCACTGCTGGCCCTTCGGTACGCCAGTTTCCTGTTGCATGAGCCGAGGACGCCCGGAAGCACCGCTAACCCGTAATATTTAGGTCGCGAGGGCATTGAGAACCCAGGCAAGAGCATTTTCCTCTACCAGACCCGCTGGTATATAACTGAGTCCATTGAAGGCATTGCAAGTCAGCTAACCCATTGCCTTACAGCGCGCATCATCACACACGCGCCTCTTCGTGCCAAAGAATCTTCTCCTTTCCTCGGCAACCAATATCCGGTCATCGTATGTTTACGCACCTCGAAGCTCTGTCGCGCCGATACTAAGAATTTATAGGACCATGAGTACGATGCGATTGTTGTCGGAGCCGGTGGAGCTGGTCTTCGTGCCGCCTTCGGTCTTGCCGAAGCTGGTTTCAACACTGCCTGTATCTCGAAACTTTTCCCGACACGATCCCACACGGTGGCTGCACAGGGTGGAATCAATGCTGCGTTAGGCAACATGCACGAGGACGACTGGAGATGGCACATGTACGACACAGTTAAGGGTTCGGATTGGCTGGGAGACCAGGATGCCATCCATTACATGACGAGAGAGGCGCCGGCGTCCGTCATTGAGTTGGAGAACTACGGTTGCCCATTCTCTAGAACCGAGGACGGAAAGATCTACCAGCGTGCGTTCGGTGGTCAATCGCAAGACTTCGGAAAGGGTGGCCAGGCATACAGATGCTGCGCTGCCGCTGACAGGACCGGACACGCTCTTCTTCACACTCTTTACGGACAATCTCTCCGCCACAACACAAACTATTTCATTGAGTACTTCGCCCTTGACCTGATCATGGAGGACGGTGAGTGCAAGGGTGTCCTTGCCTACAACCAGGAGGATGGAACTCTTCACAGATTCCGCGCACACAACACGGTCTTGGCAACTGGAGGTTACGGACGTGCCTACTTCTCTTGCACCTCTGCACACACTTGCACTGGTGACGGAATGGCTATGGTTGCTCGCGCTGGTCTCCCTAACCAGGATCTGGAGTTCGTCCAATTCCACCCAACTGGTATCTACGGTGCCGGCTGCTTGATCACTGAGGGTGCTCGTGGTGAGGGTGGTTACCTCCTTAACTCCGAGGGTGAGAGGTTTATGGAGAGATACGCACCAACTGCAAAGGATCTTGCATCCCGTGACGTTGTTTCCCGTTCCATGACCATGGAGATCCGCGAGGGTCGTGGTGTTGGCCCAGACAAGGACCACATCTACCTCCAGCTTAGTCATCTTCCTGCTGATATTCTCCACGAGCGTCTCCCAGGTATCTCTGAGACCGCATCCATCTTTTCTGGTGTTGATGTTACCAAGCAACCTATTCCAGTTCTCCCAACCGTCCACTACAACATGGGTGGTATCCCAACCAAGTACACCGGTGAGGTTCTTACCGTCGATGAGGCTGGCAAGGACAAGGTCGTTCCTGGTCTTTTCGCCTGTGGTGAAGCTGCCTGTGTGTCCGTTCACGGCGCCAACCGTCTCGGAGCCAACTCCCTTCTGGATCTTATCGTCTTCGGCCGTGCTGTTTCGCACACCGTCCGTGACAACTTCGAGCCTGGCATGCCCCACAAGGAGATCAGCGCCGATGCTGGTGCCGACTCTATTGCTTTCTTGGACAAGATCCGCACTTCTGACGGACCAAGGAGCACCAACGATATCAGAACTTCTATGCAGAAGGTTATGCAGACTGATGTCTCCGTTTTCCGTACTCAGGAGTCTTTGGACGAGGGTGTTCAGAGAATCAACGAGGTTGACCAGACATTCCCAGAGGTCGGTATTAAGGATCGCAGCATGATCTGGAACTCCGACTTGGTCGAGACCTTGGAGCTTAGGAACTTGTTGACCTGCGCGTAAGTTTAACCCTTGTATCATCTACCGGACGATAACTGACATTATAAACAGCGTGCAAACCGCCGAGGCAGCAGCGAACAGGAAGGAGTCCCGTGGTGCCCACGCCCGCGAAGATTACCCAGAGAGAGATGACAAGAACTGGCAAAAGCACACACTCACATGGCAGAAGCCACAAGGAAAGGTTGACCTTTCTTACCGCGCCGTCGTGAACCACACTTTGGATGAGGAGGAGTGCAAGGCTGTTCCTCCATTCAAGCGTGTCTACTAAACCTTTGTTCGATGTTCTGGGGTTGGCATGGAGGCCAAATGAGTTTCAACTCGCAGTATGTAGCATAGGTGCTGGTTGGGGTGTGTTGCGTTGCATTGTTATTTGATTGAGCTGTGAGAAGAATGATGGATAGAGCAGTACTAGCCATAATTCTGTAAACTAAACAAAGATTTATTCCCGATTAAAGGCTGATGCAACCATTGTGATAATGCACGTATGTAGTAAATCAGAGGCTTGCCCACAGATGGATGAGGCTGTAGGGCGCCCACGGGTACTCGTGTCGCCCAAAAGTCAGAAGAGGGACTGTATAATGGCTCCATTTATAGCAGCTATAAGAAGAAGAGGGCTCTATATAACATTTAGACAATGGGAAAATATTATGGCAATTGAAGCGGAGTTTGAGTTCCGAAGGTGAACACTGAGCGCTTACAGCGGTAAGGCGAAATATAGGGTTTCCCCGACGCCCGGCTGGCCCCGTCATCTCAAAAGTTATGACGCTTTCACCACCAGCCCCACGCCTTCGTTCTGCATCGACATTGTGGATGGGAATTATTAGTTACGGCGCGGAATAGACTCTGACTTATTGCTTTGTTTCTTGTCAGATGCAGCATTTATAGCTGGCGAAAAGCGGGAAACTTGAAGGGCCAATCTCTTATACGATACTGATGACGACGTAAACAACGACGGGTAGCGCATTCCATTATGCGACTGAAAGAATAATGGATTCCCCTAGCACGGAGCAGGTTACTCCCACCAAACCTGGCGGAGGGAGACAGCTTAGCGGTAGTCCGATCAAGATGCAATCCAAAAAGGGCCTCTTCGTGGATGGTGGATGGCGCTGTATGGCGCTCCACCAACCTACAGAGTACGCACCGAGGCTAACAGGTTCGCAGGCAATTGCTCTCCACGACTACCAGCTTCCCATTTTCAAGTCAAGAAGGAATCACTGAACAAGGGCCGATGGTTCTATACATGTCAAGAGTCGAAGGAGCAGTCTTGCGGGTTCTTTCTTTGGGACGATGATGCGAAAAGTAGGGAAATGAGGACTGTGCTTCATAATTCGAGGTCAGAAGGGGGACCGCCCACAACTCCGAAGAAACCCACTAGTCGACCGCAAGATACGGGAAAAGATAGCAAAATTATTGATCGGGACAAAGATGACGAAGATGAATATGGGGAGTGGCCATTGGGCGCTGAAGACGAGATTGAGGCTGTGGAGGCGGCAGAGAGGGCGTCATCCATGAGGCCATCTGAGACACCTCGGAAAGCACTGAAGACGAGCGATTTTTCAACTCCAGGGAGCAAGAGGATACGAAGTAGAGAAGGTCCATGGCCCACACCAGCCACTAATGCCACAACACGGGATGAGGATGTATTCAAAACCCCCATATCCGCCGCTCGTTTAGAACCCTTGAGGCTAGACAGCGCCTCCAGACGCGGCCTCATAAGCCCTTCTGCATCACCAACCCCCAATCGGCGCCTTGATTTCAGTTCTGTGGTTGAGACTGGCGGCAGCGGATCGGCAGGTTATGACATTACAGCAGAGGTCCTGCGGCTTCTCGAAGGACAGCCAATCGAAGACGAGGCGATCGCTAATTTACGGCATCTACTTAATCGTTATGCCCTGAAGAATTCAGGCATCGAGAAGGGCCGAGATATCACTCGGCTGGCGCTGAAGGCTAGGGACGCTAAAATCGAAGATCTGCAGCAGCAGGTTGCGACCCTGGAGTCTAAGCGCGAGATGGACAAGGCCATTATTAGGCACTTCAAGGATGACATACAAAAAATGCCTCAAACACGGTCCCTTCAGCTAGGATGATATTACAATAAACAATAATAATGATATCGACCAGAGGCCCTGATGACAGGGCCCTCCGATCCGCAGACTGTTGTTACCTTCGTAGCAATGTGTACCCCGCAAAAATGCAGAAGCCCATGCATCCATGATTAATACAAACAAAAAGTTTAACGCCACATTAACTAGTTCCTAGCATGCATGGTCCAGCCATTGCATGCTCCAGTTGGCAGTCGACAAATCATGCACCCCAAACCAATCCCTGGGTATCACCTGCTTTATCTAAAAAAACACCTGCCCGGGAATAAGAACGCTATCCTTTGTCAGGCCCTTCGGCCTTTGGTAGGCTCCACTCTGGATCATAATATGCATATACTGTCTCTCCGCCCTTAACCGCTGGTGCAACAAACCGTGAGACACCCGTCTTCGAATCATAACTCTGATATGACGCTGCGAGTCTTTTTCCCCCGCCGCCGGGAAGATCGACAACAAACTGCGGTGTCATGAAGCCGGCAATGGAGCCACGAATCTGACTCTCGAGCTCGAGAATGGTGCGGAGCGGGGTGCGTAGGTCTTCCACTCCAGCCACCATATCGCCCTGGTACACATAGTACGGCGTAATAGCCATATCCGCCAGGCTGCGAATCAACGCTTTCATTGTCCCCAGATCGTCGTTCACTCCACGCAAAAGCACGCTTTGGTTGCGCACCACAACGCCGGCAGCGAAGAGCTTCTTAGATGCGGCCCGGCTCACCCATGTGATCTCCGATGGGTGGTTGAAGTGTGTGTGCACGGCAACCATTTTGCCCATCTTGCGGCCGACGTTGGACACGGCGATGAGAGCAGATGTCCAGGAATCTGTTGGGTCCAAGATGCGCGAGGGGCAGACGGCAAGGCCTTTGGTTGCGAAGCGGAAGCGGCGGATGTGAGGGATGTCGAGGAGACGTGTGCCAATATCATACAGCTGGTCGGGGGTTAGGTAGTAGGCGTCGCCGCCAGAGATGACAATATCGGAGAGGGCAGGGGTGGAGGCGATGTAATCGAACATCTCGTCCCAGCGCCTGCGAGTAGGCTTTAGAGAGTACTTGGTTACTGTTTCCGTGTCGGCGCCGATGGCGTAAGACCGAGTGCCTTGGATGCGGTTTAGTCGTCGTGCTTATAGTGCCGATTTGGGTTATAACTTACAGAAACGGCAATAGACATTGCACACTGAAGTAGCTGCTTTGCAGTCAGAAATCGGCCTCAAATTTCGAATTTGCAAATAGCGTGACTTACCAAGAAACAGAGCCTTATCAGGATAACGGTGAACTAAGCCTTTAACGGGGGAGTCGTGCGCTTCACCGAGAGAATCGAGAGTCAATTTTGGGTGGTCTGGTAGTAAGGAGGCCCTCAACGGGACGAACTGCCGGCGAATGGGATCCTCAAAAGGATTGCTCCAATCAGCCACACTGAGGGTGTGAGGTGTGATGCGAATGGCCATTGGGGCAATACGAATAGCCTCCTTGACCTCATTGAGGAAATCATCTCTGGTCTTGATTTGAGAAAGTGGTGAGTTAGTATCGCGAGGAGCTGGCAGTTTCTCTGGGAGAACGCCCTCCAGGAACTGAAGCAGCTTGCTCTCTCCTTGGACCGTATTCTTGATCTGCAATAGTTAGACAGGGAAAGGGGAGGATGTCGGCGCGGAGTGATTGACCTGCCACTGATAGTTGAGAAATTTATCCTCTGGTACATCCTTCCAAATACTGACTTTCTGCCAGTAAGGGACTCCACCAGGGACAGCTACTTTCTGAGGCAGCTGGAAATTGCTTTCGTGATGCTCCTCAACTCTGACGCTGGCGGCGGCGGCTTGCTGTACGTGCCTGGGCGAGCTCGAAATGAGACGATAGGAGCCAGCTGTAGGCGTGCCCCGAGCATTGGTTGTGGTGACACCGGCAGCACGAACGAGGTAGTGCGATGATGATCCAGCCCGGCGGGCTCCTACACAACCAGCGAGATGCAGCATCGTGGACAAGGTCACAGATCATGGATTTGGTCGAGCTGTCAAACGCTGCGGAGGACCTGTCCACTTAAAGTACACCAGGGGCTTCACATTTGATTTAGGTGCGGTGTGCAGGTTGGTGCAAGTTGGTTGATCTTAGTGACCAGACTCCGAAGAGGAGGCACAGAGCAAATAGTAATTTGGTGGCTAACTAATGCATAAATCGCTCCTTCCAAGGTGGGTGGCACAAAGAGGAGTGAAGGCGTCTCAGGCATCATAGTGACCTGTCTTTCAAGTGAGAAAAGCCCAGTCGCCGAGTTAAACATAAACGAGGTCATTGTACAACCTCGAATACTCTAAATACCCTGATGTCCCATGTAATAGTTTCCGTTGCGCCATGGTTGATAAATAGGATCTATTCTCACATAAATTGGTCCAAGAACCCTAAGAATTGGATTATGCACCCATCTCTATCCACCCACATTTAGTCGAGTTCTAGTATACGGACGGCGGTATCCGAATACTAAGCGAACGACATCGCGAACACCCCTGGATTTATAAGCGGTTACGTAAGCGAACCCTAGCAAACTACTCTAGCAACCCTAGATCATAAAACAGGCCAAATTGATAAAGTGATTCATAGTAGAGTAGAATAGCTATAGAATAGACTTAAGTATAACCAAGTAGGCAATATTAAGGCTTGTGAAACTAAGTAGGCTCTGTTAAGTCTCGTGGAGTATATAGGCTATATACTTCACAAGACTTAACAGGGCCTACTTAGGAAGGACTCTATAGCTATTTTAATAAGCTTAGTACTTGGACCCTTTGCTTTCTAGGAATGGAAACCAGATAGGAATAATTTACTATAAAAGTACTCTTAAAATCAGTTTTGGTTATAAGAATTAATCATGTCCTAGAGCTCCACTGCTGTTCAAAGTTTGATACTATATAAGAATTTAAATTTTGTAAGAAATAATAATAATATTACTATAGAAACTTTTATTGCCCTTAAGGTGATAACTGAATTGGAATTAAAAAGGAAGAACGGATTAGAGTAGTAGGCTCTTAAATATTATTCCTTTGAAGGGTTTCTTCTTCTTTTCATTAGCTGTAACAAATCCTTCATCCTTAGATAGAGTTATAGCTTCTTAAGTAGGTAGGCTACAAGCTTCTTAAGTAGGCTGTAAGTAGGTAGGTGTTATAGCTCACCCTACCTATAGCGCTAAGTTGAGGAATATGTGAGTTAGGAAAGGCTATGGTTATGAGTCACGCATAAGTCATGAAGCAGTCATGAGACTAGGACCACATGACTGATCCTATATGGTCTATAGACTAGACAGGATTCATGAGATATAAGGAGGTCATAGGACGCAACTGATCCTACATGGTCTATAGACTAGACAGGATCCGTGAGTCATAAGGAGGTCACGGGACGCGACTGATCCTCCATGGTCTATAGACTAGACAGGATCTATATCTATAGACTAGACAGGATTAGTAAGGCATGATGCCACTATATAAGTAGATAGTATTTCCTTAGATAGGAGCTTCGTGCTCAACTTAATATAGTATTATTTACAATACTATAATGTGTTACTTAGAAAGCCTTTGTGTTTAATCCCCTACCTCCTCTGTTAAGTCAACCTTAACAAGAAACCTCTATGTCTTCTATCATTTAGAAGTTAGCGTTACACTTTAAGCACCACTTCTACGAGGTACCGGCTTATACACAAAGCAACATGTTAGCTATAGGATCTAAGGGAAAGATCAGGGCTGCCCTAGCTACACCAACTCCAGCTACGCTAACGCCTATGACATCTTAGGCAATCCTGCCTTAGGACATAAACATGGCTAACACTAAACCAGTCGTCATAGAACTCTGGGAAACCCTACGCATCAAGTTGCCTAACACTTACTTTAGCAACCACATGTAACACTGACTTTTAAACGATAGAAGACACAGAGGTTTCTTGTGTAAGGTTGACTTGACAGAGGAGGCAGGGGATTAGACACAAAGGCTTTCCAAGTAACACGTTACAGTATTGTAAAGAATACTATATTGAGTTGAGCACGAAGCTCCTATCTAAGGAAATACTATCTACTTATATAGTGGCGTCGTGCCTCATGGGTAATCTGGATAGTTGGCGGATAGCTAGATATTCAGGATAGTTCGTGGATAGCTCAACTATCCAATATCCACTAGTTTCTGCAACTATCCATTAGCCCCATCACATGGCAGCCTACCCCGCTTGCCCCCTGTGACTCACACATCACATTACTAGGCCCTGGCCCTGTAACCATGATGTCATGTTACTGTAGCCGTAACACCACAAGGAACTTGAAGTGTTTCTGCTCTAGAGCGAGCTATACTCATCTTTAATGACGACAAGTTCCCAACTAACAAGGATTACGCCTTATAGACATCATCTTACCTTAGAGGGGAAGCCCTTCGATGGGTAGAACCTTCCTTAAGGACTATTTCTAACATGAGGACACCTATGATATGATGGTTACTACCAGAACTATGTTTGGTACTTAGAAAGGATTCAAGAAGGAGATCTGCTACATGATTGGCGATATCGATGAGGTTAAAACCACAGAAGACCATCTGTACAAACTAAAGCAGACTAGTAGTGTCCTTACATACGCTACAGAATTCCAAAGATATAGCAACCAAACCAATTAGGATACCTACACACTCATTAGCTACTATTGTCATAGACTAAAGAGCCATGTCAGTATAGAACTCACATGTATAGAACATCAACCAAAAGACATGGTCTTGCTTATCAAACATACAGTTTAGATCAACAACTAGCTGTATGAGTTCTAGAAGGAACGACAAACTTACGACAACCTAAAGAAGAGTTATAAGTATCGAGGTAACGAAGGTCGAAAGAGAGACAACCATTCTCAAGACAACCGATGCTCAGACCCTATGGAACTCGATGCTACCTTTAAGCAAGGAAACCGCCTACACAACCCTAACAAGGAGTGACAGCTTAACGAACGGCTCTGCTTCAACTGTAACAAGCCTAGACATGGCATGAAATTGCAAGCAATCAAAGAAAGGGAATGGCAGACAAAAGTATAGCAAACAGCTCAATGCCACTTGGCAAGGACAGAGCAGATAACTTAATGCCACATTTATCAGAATGCCTAATTAGGACATGAACGGTAAAGACACCAAAGAGGGAGGCAATGAAAGCAAAGAATCAGAACTAGAATCGCTTACCCCCTTAGAACAAGAGAAAATCAAGGAGAGTAGAAAGAAAGGTTCTGATACTCGAGGCTTTATACAAAAACTCGCTTTAGAAGCTTCTATAAGGTTCCAATACTCGAGGCTTTATACAAAAACTCGCTTTAGAAGCTTCTATGAAAGAAAGCTTCTGATACTCGAGGCTTTATACAAAAACTCGCTTTAGAAGCTTCTATGACAGATCCTATTCGAAGATTGAAGGGAAGACTTGTGCAACTACTATAAGACAAGCGTTACGAAGATGGCAAATCTTAAGAATTCAACTATAGTCGAGAACTACTACTAGGAGTGCATAGGAGACCTAGAGCAGTATAACGACAAAGCATAGGAATGCTTTATAGAGAAGGCATGAAACCCATTACACACCTAGAAAGGAGAGTGTTAGAACAGCTTGAATTCTTATCTACACCACATAGGATTGGACAACCATAGGACAAAGGTTAACAGGAATGGGCGATGGTGGATGCGACAGAGACTGATCACCCTTAGCACTCTCACATCTACTGGGAATACTGTAGCCAGGATGACTGTGAGTATCATTTACAAAAAAGAAAAACACTAGTTATTACTTAGAACCTCCCCTAGGATCCATTTCGAAGGCGACAAACAAGTTGACGCCTTAAGACAAAAACAGTCTAAGACGGAACTACCTATGAAATGAGCAGAGGAAGGACCACCACCTTAACGACCATTAGGGGATGGCAAGTATGAAGGATACTCCTCTTACGACTAAAAAAACTAGGAGTCCTTGACGGTAGGTCACTAGCAAGTGACAAAGACAGGCCTAGTACAAACTAGCTATGCACCATAGGCGGCATGTAGCTATATGTAGTTGCTAAGATACAACAGCAACACCTCCGAGCTATGATAGGCTTAGGAGCAACGGGCAACTTTATGACAAAGAAAGTAGCAGACACATATTGTTTTAGAACGCAACTAAAGACTGACCCATACCCATTAATGGTTGTAGATGGAGAGCCCATCTCAACTAACAACAGAATGTGACCTACGAGATGGTCCCATTAGCAATGGTCATGCTACACAGACACAAGGAAATGATACAGTTTGATATCATACACATGGACAATCATGCATGCATACTTAGTGTGCTGTGGCTCAAGAAACACAACCCCTAGATCAACTAGCAGAAAGAGAAAGTTGTAATGAGCTAGTGCGCGTGTAAACGAACAGACATGACATAAGAAGGGGAGAGAGACTCCTAGGGCTAACGTGAGGCATGTGCAACCTCTATAGAGCCTAGTGACCTAGCCTAGGCACCCTCACTAATGAGTATACTAGTAGAGTATAAAGAATACAAGCAGTTATTCTAGGAAGGCCCTAAGGAAGTGGCGCTTCCTAAGCACCAACCATGGGATGATACCTATTATAGAAGGAAAGAGCCTACTGTTTAGACTAATATATCAGATGTCAGCAGCAGAGCTGGATGTACTAAAAGAATACATTAACGAGAACCTTGTGAAAAGGTTCATTTGACCATCAATATTGTAGGAAGTCTAATACTGTTTGTGCTAAAGTAGGATAAAAAGCTACAACTCTATGTTAATTATTAGGGTACAAACAACGTCACTATTAAGGACAGATATGCCTTATCCTTGTTAAATGAATTACATAACCAGTTCTAAGGAGCTAAGATATTCACAAAACTAGACCTAAGAGGCGCCTATAACTTAATCTGAATAAAGAAGGGAGATGAGTGAAAAACAGCATTCTGCACCTGCTATGGTTTATTCGAATATTTAGTTATGCCTTTTGGACTAACAAACGCACTAGCATCCATGTAGAGGCTCATGAATGAAGCCCTCTATAAATACCTAGACATATTTGTCATCGTCTACTTAGATGAAATCTTAGTCTACTCTAAAGACCTAACAGAACATGTGAACTACGTCAAAAAGGTATTACAAAAGTTAAAGGAATATAACCTACTACTTTAAGCTAGAGAAATGTGAATTCTATAAGAATCAAGTTGAATTCTTAGGTTACATCATTAGAACGCATGGCATAAAGATGGACTAAGCAAAGGTCATAGCAGTGTTGGAATGGCTAACACTAACCATGCTTAAAGAAGTACAAGCCTTCTTAGGTTTCGCCAACTTCTACTAAAGATTTATTATAGGATATTCCAAGGTAGCTCAACCACTTACAGAGCTTACAAGGAAAGACCTCACGTTTGAATGGACAGACAAGGCAGAGGCTGCTTCTAAGAACTCAAGACGAAGTTCATAGAAGCACCCATCTTAGCCATATTCAACCCTGCAAAGAAGATAGTCCTTAAGATGGACTCCTCTAACTTCATAATTAGAGTATGTCTAAGTCAACTAGACAAAGCTTAAACTAGTTGCATATTACTCTAGAAAACTGTCACTTATAGAGCTCAACTATGACATCTATGACAAGGAGCTAATAGCCATTGTCGTTGCCTTTAAGCAATGGCGAGTATATCTTGAAGGATTAACCTACCCTATATAGGTATAGACAGACCATAAGAATCTCATATACTTCACCACAACTAAGATTTTAAACCACAGACAAGTCTAATGGGCAGAGACACTTACAGCCTACAACTTCACGATTACATATCGTAAGGGCTCTAAAAATGCAAGAGCTGATGCTCTTAGTAGACGGACCAACTACTTCAGCCTAAAAGAAGAAAGACCTAGAGCCACCTTAAAGAAAACAGACATAGGAATGCAATACAATGAGTTACTAGCCACAATCACTACTGTAGAGAACTTAGAGTTAGAAGAAAGTCTTAAGAAAGCTTACGCAACAGATGAATGTGCAAAGCGAATCTTGACTAAAACTGAAGACGACTTCGCTATTAATGAACAAGGATTGATCTGATTTAAAGGGTTAGTGTATGTCCTAAACAAAATGAGATGCCCGCTAGTGTAAGAACAACACTCGCTACTAGCACACAGCCATTAGGGAGTAACACACACCTTTAACCTAACATTACTACTTTCTAGGTATGAGGAAGTAGGTAGAAACAGTGGTGAGAGAGTGCGATATTTGCAGCAAATCGAAATCCAATAGGCATCTGCTATATAGACAGCTCAAGTTGACACCAGTACTAACAGGAGTATGGAAATCTATAGCTTAGACTTCATCATTAAGCTACCACCCTCTTAGGACCCGTTAACAGGAGTAATTACGATGCTATCCTAGTTATCATAGAGAGACTCACATATGAAGTTTCAACCATATCTAGAAGCTAGTGGTGCTGAAGCACTCGCATATCTGTTATTAGCCAATAACAGACTACTAGAAGAAATCATCTAAGATAGAGACAAGCTCTTCACTTCGAAATTTAGGAACAAATCATAAGCTATCAACAGCTTTCCATCCCTAAACAGATGGTCAAACAGAAAGATTAAATCAAACTCTTCAACAATACCTATAGAGTTATGTCACCTACTAACAGGACAATTAGGTTTAGATTTTACACATTACGTAGTTTGCATATAACAGCATGATGACTAAAGCAACAAAAGTCTCACTGTTCTTTGCTAATTACAGCTACTAGCTAGAAGTATATAGGCAACTAAGACTAGATTAATTACAAGCAGAACAAGCCATGATCACTATAGAACAACTGATATTATTCGACAAACAACTTGTAACGGATATCCAATTCTTAAATGAATGATCTGCTATGTATGCAAACAAGAAGCACAGTATAGAACCTGCCTTTAAGGAGGGGGATAAAGTATACCTACTCTAGAAACACATCAAAACAAAATGACCAAGTACAAAGTTGGACTTTAAGAAATTAGGACCATTCAAAATATTAAACAAAGTCAGCTTAGTTAATTATAGACTGAAGCTACCTAAGAACTCTAGACTACACCTGATTTTTCATGTCGGAAACACCCTAATTGCGACAGACATAGAACTCCAACTAGGGAATGAGATCATTAAATATGAAGTCGAAGCGATCCTAGACAGAAGGTTAGTAGGACGCAAAGAAGAGTTTTTGATAAAATGGAAAGGTTATAAACCTATAGACAATTCATAGGAAACGGTAGGAAACCTTAGCTATCTAGAGCTACTAGAGGTGTTTCACTGTCAACATCCTAGCAGTTGAAGAACCTAGAAGGCAAAGAGGCAAAGATGGGAAAAGGTTGTGCTTTGAAGCATCACCCCTAGAGATAGCCTTGGAGGTAGATAGGAGAAGGGAACGAGCCTTAGCCTCATGCCACTTACATTCCTCAACCTCCTCTAACTCGTCTAAAGATTCTAGACCACGATGTAGCATCTTAACACTATGAGGTTTTGAGAGCTTTCTGCTGTTTACAAAGACGTATGTAACGAGCATATGCTTCTTAAGCGTAGAGGTGAGCCTCCTGTTCCTAAAATGCTACTGCTTCTTCTTTAGCATTAAGATGCTCTTCTTCCTTATAAAGCTTTTCCTAATCAACAGGAGAAGGGGTGTAAGCATTGCATTTGGAATTACAATGAGTACATTCACTATAACGATGATGACTAGTAATAACAATACAAGATCGTTCACTACAAAGAGAGTTAGAACATAGCAACATTAGGTTGCTGTTCTTTTCGATGTGGTCTATAAGTGATAAGATGATGTTCTTTGATTTTTGTGTGTCTCTTAGAAGATATAATAGCAGCGCAACCTACTTAGTAATTAAGTAGGCATCACCCTACTTAAGTAATTGGCAATTTCCTTAATTAGCAAGACCTATAGGACTAGGCCTTTAGGAGGGAGACCTAGTGTTACAGCTATAGTAACGTAACATTATAGTTATAGGGCTAGCAGTACTAGGCTCTAGTAACGTGACTCATAAGTTATGAGGCTAGGAGGGCTAGGCAATAGCGTGACCTCGCTAGTAGATAGTTGGGAAACTAGTGGATAGTTAGGAAACTAGTAGATAGTAGGAAACTAGTAGATAGTTAGATAGTTAAAAAAATCAGAACTATTCTAACTATCTAACTATCCCTATCTGAACTACAGTCAACTCCCGTTAAGTCTATACAATTGGTGACATGTGTAAATATCGTAAAAGTGAAAATATCGTTATATTGAAATGCCAAGTATTATGTAATCCACCTATCCAATGTCTCCTAAACCAAGGAATTGAGCTGAATTGCCTCAATTTCACCCTCTAAATGCTCTAATGCCCTGAGGTGATTGGCTTAGGGAGCATCCTAACACTCTGTATACTCAATTAGAACTTTAAGGGCATTGCAAGCATCAGAGGCTGAATAATAGCCTCGTTAGTCTTAGGCTCCTCTTCTTGCTCATCATTTTGAGTAGGATCACTAAGGTGCTCATCCAAAATCTCCTGTAGTATACCCTCCTCATCTGTTGTAACTTCTGTATTGTTGATTTGCTCGTCGATAGGATTTAAAAAGTTCGAAATAGCCATTGAATCATGTATATTACCAGCTTGAATGACTTGTTCGTATAGTTGTGAAAGGTCTGTCGGTGTGATTGAGGTTGGAAGAGTGATTAGAGTTGTAAGAAGTGTTGATTTTCAAAAGCAATTGTATATAGTTGATTGTAAAACTTGTTGATTCCAGCTTTGTAAGATCTAGCAAATTGAAAGTCGTAAGCTTGCTTGCTTAATCGGATCTAGATTTGAATTATAACATTTAAGCATAAAAGAGAGCCATTGTCGACAGTAATAAGCTTTAAGAGATTGAATAATGCCTTGATCAAGAGGCTGGAATCGACTGGTACTATTAGCTAGAAGCTAACAGATCCGAATATTAGGAGGTGGGGGACAAAGAGATATGTGTGTAGAAAAGTTGTCCATTGTAAGAAGGACTTGTCGAGTAAAGCCAATATGTCGATAAAATGCTTGAAGCCAGTTGATCATAATTGTTGAATTCATCCAAGCCTTTTAATTCCACCTCCACTTAGCTCCCATTGTAGATATATTAATATTGTGTAAAGATCAAGGTGTTTTTGCTTTGCTGATAATCTAGATTAGAAGCAGTTAGGTCTGGAAGCATTTGTACAAAGAGTAAGTGTAATTCGAGTTTTTTTCTCCTTTAATCTAGGTAATGATTGTGATGCTAGTCCTCAAGATGGCAGTATCTTCTAGTAGAGCCTAGTTTCATATATATTATAGATATTCTCCTCCTTAAACTCCCTAGCAATTGTCCGGAGCCCTTTTATCTCTTCTTCAACTAATGATAGATCCTGCTTCGCTATAACGTTTATGTATCTTAATATTATGTCGTGATTTAAATCGTGTAAGCTAGCTAGAGCTAAAGTCGAGAACTAGCTGATCTGCATACTATAGAAGCCTTCTCTAGATCTCCCTCGCCTTTTCTTAAAGTATATCACTAGGTGTAAAGCCAGCGCGGCTATTAATTCGTTGCTAAAAGTCATAGAGAATTTGTTCAAGTTGAGGCCATTGGCGATTTCGTTGTCTAGTTGTTGTCGAGTAGTCAAGATGTTTAAAGCGGTCACTAAGGTTATCTGATATTGTCGATTAACTAAGCCTATGATTGAATTTGTGAAGAAACCAGTTGATGTAGGCTTTCTAGGAGGGTTTCGGGTGCTGTTTGTGTGCCTAATGTCGAAGGGCATGGTGCTGTTAAAGTGCAATCGTGTGTTTCGAGGCATAATAGAGTTGGATAAGTCAATAATTAAAGGCAGAAGGTCAATATCGCAAATATCGAGAATTGAGTGCAAAAATCAATTGGTGCTAAAAAAAATATCGACTTAGCAGTGTTATCAACTAATCTGACATCGTTGTCATGACACTCCTTCGATATTTGTGTCATGACCCTTCGATTCGCTTTAGTCTCTAGTACTTATTTCACTATGTCATTCACTTCACCTGCTTCGCTCACTTCGCTCACTTCGCTTCACTTGCTGACCTAGATCAGCCCAAATGTTGACTACTGGCTTAGGCTCTCTTGTTATTGGCTCACTTCACTAGGGCTCACTTAGCTAGGGTTCAGTTAATTAGTGCCTTCACTTATTTGGCACTAGGGGTTTTTACTTTATATAAGCACTTATTGCTCATGTCTCTTATTGATCTTTAGCTAGCAAATTATATACTACTTGGCCTTCTTGCAAACATCCTGCTTCGACTTACTTTGCATCCCCTTACTTCGAGTCGAACCACTTAGCCAACCTGTTAGTCTCACCACTTGACCTCTATGGTATAAAGTATATGCTTTGGAGCCTGAACTACTATACCTACTGCTTCGAGTATCGAAGTCTTCACATTATACTTCAGATACTTCTGCAGACTTGAAGGTCAGCCTCGGTTCAAACTGTCCTTACAATCATCTTGGCGAGAGTGGACTGTATCTATAAGGCACAACACTACTATATAAGTAGATAATATTCCCTTAGATAGGAGCTTCATACGTAACTTAATATAGTATTCTTTACATACTATAACATGTTACTTAGAAAGCCTTTGTGTCTAATCCCCTACCTCCTCTAATAAGTAAACCTTACATAAGAAACCTCTATGCATCCTATCGTTTAGGAAGCAACATCCCTAAGTTTGTCATCGTTGATTTTGATTATGAGGCAAATTAAGTTTGTTTGTAGGAAACCATTAGCAGATCGTAGTTGCTTCACAAAGAGATGTCATGTACGGAGGTTATGTTTATAAGTTTTGTGCGTAGGGGGGCTATAAAAGCCACGTATAGGGGTCGTATGTACCCATACTAACGCTAGCGACGCAAGGCGACTTTGTTTGATGTATTACGGAGGTAATGTTCAAAAAGTTTTGTGAGTGGATCGAGCATGGGACCCCAGAATTTGTGCACAACAGCATAAACTCATGTATCGATCACATATAAAATATGAGGCGAGATACACCATCGATTTGCGCGCAGCCCTTAGTTCAGCTCCTACATCATCCAATCTCCTTGTCTACCAGTTTCATGCCGTGAACTGGGCCTCGGGTTTGAGGAGTCCTGCAGGTCACTCCCCCGCAACCGACAATACGACATCTAGCCGCCCACTTATGCATATTTGTTGGGAACACAATGCCCCTCATTGGAGGAGTATTTGTTTGCTTTTCCCTGTTGGTTCTATTCCCCATTTGATAACACCTGCATTTCGGCATTTGGGCGTCTGTTGCAGGGAAGCGAGCTGGTTACTCTTCAGCAACGCGGTGATTTGCCTGTGGCCAGGTTCATACTGCATTTTTTCAAGCTGGGTCTGTTGCAGTGAATAGGGACGGCCGGAAGCGTCTCCAATGCCATTGCCGCTGTTGGATTTGACAACTACCGAAGATTAGGGCTTTGGTTTGGTCCCGAGGGTTCAGGGATGGTTGAGACGCGCCACGTATTGATGGCCTTGATTGGAGCGACCTAGGGCGTATCCAGCACCATTCAGTAGCCAAGACTATTTTAGCCACTGCTTCCGAAGACCATGGCGTTGCTGTGATCGTGAAGGTTCACGTTGGTTTAATACTCAATAGCGGGTCATGTTACTTGTCGTTTGTCATATCTCTTCAGCTTGCTTCGTTGTATCCCATACGGCCGTAGCTAGCATGTTCCCCCTTCTGTGTGCGTCTTGGTGACTCTGGGCCTCTCTGTGTTTTCTCTGTTGTGATGATATCATTTGCCGATGCAAAGATTGCCCTCCTATAATTCTAATGTTGAGAATTGAGGATAACGATTTCATTGCCACAAATGGTAGGTGATGAGAGAGAAAGAACTGGTCTTTGTGGCTATATTGGCCGAATAGTGGTCGAATAGTGGTCGAATAGTGGCCATTTATTTGCTTCCCAGCCGTGAGAGAAAGTTAATTCTCTTAAGCGCTCCTATTTTCTTTGTTTCCCAAAAACCTTTCCAGAAACTTCCTGCTATTCTAAAATTGTGAAAATACAATTGCCTTATCAGCTTGCTTCCTAACTGGTGAATCCCCGCTCTCGAGACTTCTGAACTTCCCAGAACAGGAACCCACGTCAACATGCCCAATCAGCCCAACATATCAAGATGAACCTCACATTGGCCAGGGATTTATCAGGTTATGCTCATACTGTTCAAGGCTCGACAATAACGGATCCAACGAACCCATCCAGCGAGATAGATAAACGACACGATGACGAGACATATCCAGATGGAGGCCTTCGAGCCTGGCTCGTCGTTTTAGGCTCATTTTTCTTGCTTTTTGCAACCTTTGGCTTCCAAGCATCTGTGGGATTGTTCCAACTTCACTGGTCTTTAAATCTACTCAGTGACTCAAGCCCAAGTAAGATTGCCTGGATACCGTCGGTATTTATATTCCTGTCACTTGCGCTGTCGATACAAACAGGGGCTATATTCGATCGATACGGAGCACGCTACATCCTCCTCTTTGGATCAATTGGATACCTCATGACCTTCTTCCTTCTCGCTCAATGCACGACTTATGTAGGGTTCATGCTGTGTCTTGGAGTTTTGGGGGGTCTCTCCTCCGCTGCGCTCATAACAGTCTCACAGGGTGTTATAAGCCACTGGTTCAAGAAACGACGTGGTCAGGCTTCTGGGCTGGCTATGCTGGGTTCAGCTCTTGGAGGCATCACGTTCCCACTAATACTGAAACCGCTCCTTGAAAAGAGCAGTTGGCCCATGGCCATGCGGATACTCGGATTAATTGTCCTCCTCTGCCTGGTCGTTGGCAATTTGTTCTGCCGTAGTCGTCTGTTGGCAACCAGCACCAGCGCCATGGTCAACGTTCGTTGCTATTTGGACAGCACGTTCAACTGGCTAACTATCAGTGCATTTGGTGAGTTTGACGATGCTGTTCATTATGAGTGAAAATGCTGACTATTTTGCTGCTTAGGTTTTGAATTGTTGCTCATCATTGGCCTTGGATTAATCCCAACTTATGCAGCAGATGCTGGTTATGGTCAAAGAGCAGGTTTCTACCTTATCATGACAATGAATATGTTTGCTCCCCATACCCAAAACAAAAACGGGAAACCAAACAAAGCTGATATTTTCCCACAGTGGCTCAACATTTGGACGTGTTATACCGTCCTGGTTCTCTGACAAATTCGGCCGGTTCAATATGCTCCTTCTGATGGCAGCTTTCACTCTCGCTTCCATGCTCTTTATCTGGCTGCCGTTTGGCCTCAATTCGCTGGTGGCACTTTATATCTTCGTCTTCCTGTACGGCTTTGGGACCGGGAGCTTCGTTTCCTTGTCTATGGGCTGCGTTGGGCAAATCTGTAGGGGCAGTGATTTTGCGCGTTGGATAGGAGCTATGGATTCTGTTGTATCTATTGCGTATGAGCTATTCCACCCCCTAACTGGAGATATTTTATGGGGTTTGAGCTTGCTGACACATTCTCGCAGGACGTTGGTTTCCATTCCGATAGGAAGCTTACTCCAGTCAAACGTGGGGCCCCAAGCTATGGTCTGGTTCTTGGTCGGTGTTTTGAGTTTGTCATTGATGGCATGCAGCATTTCTCGCGCTGGCAACATGGGGTATAAATGGAGATGGATTGCCAAGGTCTGATATTGAGCGGTATGTTGGTTGAGAAAAGGGGTTTGGTATATACTGTACATATCTGATGAGTGTCAAGAGTTTCTTTAACGGTATGGAGACGAATACTATAATGATTAATAAAGGAATAGCAGGAGGATCTCTAACACTAATGAGAAGTGTCGTGGGGTAACTCAATCTTAAACCTATCGCGATTGCAAGAGCTCAAGCGATGATATCAAGACAAATTACCAGGGAAACTATCTCTCTTGAGTAGTCAATAGTAGTAGTATTCATATAATACATTTCTCCGCTCCTTCAATCCGGGTATCAAGCCAAAATTCCAAGTACAACCCCTCCACATCGCCGCATATCCTTCGAAAATCAGAACGGCACCTGCCCAAACTCAGACCTCATAGTAGTAATCCTCATCCAGCCCTTCCCTGCTAGGAATCAGCCCCTTGCCCTCGCCTGCCTCCATCCTATCCTCAAGCCTAACATTCAGCAGCCGAATCTTCAGCCCGTAGTCCACAACCAGTCCCACGAGCTTATTCGTCTCCGCCGTAATCGGCGCTTGGTTCAACAGCATCAGCAGTCCATCCAGCCACTCGCTCGCCAGACTATGAGTCTGCGGATCCAGAGTCAGCAATACCCTCTCGACCTGCTCCTCCTCTGCCGACTCCATGGGAAGATACGAGTTAATCGTGATCTTATTCCTCGTATTCCGCTTCGGCGGCACGCTCAGATCCTCCTTCTTCAGCGTGCTCGTGTTCGACGATATCGACGAAGTGTCATCCTCCCCACCCGCCGTCACATTCGACACCACGCTCGAGATGGTCTCTACATCCAGCTTCTCCCCGAGCTCCGTCAGCGGCGGCGCGTAGCCCGCCTGCGCCTCAAAATCTGCATAGTGCAGGAACCGCCGGTTGTGGCTGAGCCGCGCGAAGCGCCACGGCTTGCTGCGCACCGAGGCGGGGGAATTGGAATCGCCGCGGGTGGCGCTGCGAGGGAACCACGAGCCTTGGAGGAGGCAGCGGATACGCTGCTCTTTGACGAACTGGAGGGACTCGTTGTGGAGTTCCTCGCGCACTTGCTGCAGGTGGTGGCCCCACTGGTCCTCGAACGAAAACTTTAGGACTTCCATCTGAACCTCGCGCAGGCGCTGGTACTCGAATTCGGCAATTTCTTCCTCGGCCTCTGTGATGTCTTTTGTGCGTGGCGCTGAGCCGACGACTTTATCGATCAGGATGCAGACAAGCTCGGCAACCTTGTCGAAATCGTCTTGAACTGCGCCTGTAGCTTTCCATAAGCGGAAGAAGGCAAGAAGTCCCGCAGTGTGTAGCCGCGACCATTGCAAGACTAGAGGCCGGAAGATCATATCATAGTTTTGGGGACTTTCAAGCATCTGGTAGTATTTTGCGTCTTCGGTTTCCGATTTGTCGGCACCGAAGTGATCGTAGAGGATAGCTGTAACTGCCAGACTGCAACGGGCAATCGGGCAACGTGTATGAAGAGGTTTGGAGGATTGTTCGAGAAGAATCTTCTGGAAGTTGTCTTCTTGCTTGCGAACGTAGTCCGTCAGATCCATCATGCCGAGGTAGCCCATCGGATCAAACTCCCACGCTGGGCTCTCAGTAACGAAGCCAAGTCGCCGCCATTTCTCCGGGTTGTGTTTCCGAGTTCCCTTCTTTGCCGAGTCGCTCACTTCTTCCACTCGACCCATTTGTGTCACATGTTCTCGTTTCTCAGGTGCACTTGCAAGGTGTATCCCTTTCAGCGCCCTCCTGTGATCCGGTCTCTCCAAGTCCACCCTCATATCCCTCCATTTCCTCAAAAAGAGCTTCGTGAGGGCTTGAAATTCTAGTAACGGGTGCGCCAAATCTTGCAATGCTGAGCTCTGCATCAGACGATATGCCCCCTTTACGACGCCCAGGTCCTGCAGCCTCTTGATGAATTTCGGCCACTCTTCACCGGTCCCGCTGCTCTTGCTTGTCCCATCCGTTCCACCGTCAATTGTTATGGCATCCCTCATAAGTGCATTAAGCAGCATAAGCGCGTTGGCGCAGAGCGCGTGGTCCGCAGAGTTGAGCTGAGACACCACCATCTCAAAGAATTGCGGGTAGACGGCTACTGCTGGCTTGAGCGTGCGAAAACCGAATGCGCCTGGAGTCCGTATCGAGCCGCGTGTGGTTTGTGGGTGGCTCACAATCGCAACCAGTATCGACATGGCGCCTCTGAGGATGTTGACGAGAGGGTGTGTGACAATCAATTCCACTACGCGCTCAACCAATTCTCCGGCTCCAGCACTTTCGAAGATCTCCCAGCCCATGTCGACCTCGAGAAGGCGGCTCAGCGACTGGAGCGAGTATGCGAGGGTGTTGCCGCCAGTAGACATGATAAGACGGCGCAGGATGCTGAGTCCCCCAGTGGAGATGAAGACATCGGCGAAAGAAGGATCGTTAATTGAGGACTGCAGCTTGAAGACTGCCATTTTGCGAAGGGCATCTTCTTCGCTCGACAAGTTCCTGAGGAGCGAGGGGATCTCGGCTTGGTCCATTGTAAGTAAGCCTGGCGACTCCTTTAACAATTGGGGATGCGGCGCGGCCTCAATGGGTCATTGAGAGGAGCTGGAGAGGAATTAAGGTTTCGTGCTCGTGTAACGAAGGCGCTGAAGATTCGAAGACAATGTTACTCGGTCAATTTGGGTATGTCGAAATGTTTGGTGGGAGTCCGTGGTTGAATCGGTGCGACGGTGCACGGGGGTTCTGGATGTTTTAGTAGGGTCTGTGCACGAAGTGGGTTATCGGGCAACTCAGGGGTCTTCACGTTTATTGAAGGGTCGTGGGGAAGGCCAGGACGTACAAGCCAGGTCAGCAAGACGTCACAGCGAAATTGGTGGAATTGGTAGGTTACACCATCTCAACAACTCGCAATATACCCCTCGTCTTCTGTGACATCCAGGTGGCAGCTCCATGCCCATCTCCGGACACAATTTCACAGTAGATCACAAAGATAACCTCGCGATGAAAGAGAGGCATGTCTGATATGTTCTCTAGGCTCAAAGGCTCAAAAAGGATTTACTATGCGATTCTTTCTAGTGAGGGCAGATTGGCAGATCTGCTCTCATTGAACCCTTTGGGGGAAGGCTGATGAATGAGGTAACAAAGGCGCCAGACAGAACATTGTTGTGAGTATCTAGGATCTTATGGCACCTTCAGTTCTGAGTTTGGAATCTCTCAAGATTATATTCAGTAAGCCGGCAGCATTATGAAATATGACACATAACATACTTCCAATGCTCCAGCCCCAGTAATTAATATATCCTCCTCACTGCGTCTTCTTGGCTTCCGCGCTCTCCTTCTCCGCCATGAAGGCCTTCACGGACCTCTCCATTCCTTGACGAGTGGTCACAATCGGCCTGTAGCCTAACCGTTCCCTCGCCTTCGCAATATTGTAATACCTCGTCATGCAACTGAACCGTATCCCCCTAGGCGTCATCTTGCTCTTCTTCCCGATCAACCACAACGATGTCTCGACTACCGTCGCCAATGGCACTCCGACATCCTTTGAAATTGTCCACACGCCCTCGGTTCCCTTCTTGTGGCCAGCAATCGCCCACAGCTGGCGCGGGAAGTCCCAGAAGTATATCGGCGCATCGTTGGTGATGATGAAAGCCTCACCATCGACCTTCTCGTGGTCGAGCGGCTTAACGGACAGCCTGGATGTCGACAGAAGCAGGTGCGCGGCGAGGAGATGTGCGTGCGCTACGTTGCCAACGTACGTGAAGTCGAAGAGGTTCGTGTTGTCGCCGACTTGGAAGTTGGTTTTGTTGTTGTAGTACAAGTCCAGCATATTGGGCAGCATCTGAACGTCGCCCTCACCAAAGATACCCGCGGGGCGGATGGCGGCGGTGAGGAGGTCGGAGGGGCCGGTGCGGTTCGCCTTCAAAACGGCCTCTTCGGCCAGACCCTTTGTCTCGGCGTAGTAGTCGGTTTGGAACTTGCCTCTGAGCATGGGCCAGCGCTCGTCGGCATTGATGAGGTCGGTGATGGAGTCGCTGATGACTGAGGCGGAGCTGGTGTAGACGAGCGCAGTGACGCTGGTCTCGCGGCAGGCACTAATGACGCATTGGGTGCCCTCAACGTTTACTTTGTAGAGGAAGGAATTGGCCGTCTCGGCGATGGCCACGGGAGAGGCGGTGTGGATTACGACATCTGGCTTGACCTTCATGAAGATCGTAACGATAGATTCGAGCGAGGTGATGTCGGCGTCGAAGTATTCGACGCCATCGGATTCAGGGCGGCGGTTGCGTGTAGTGCGGAGATCCACCACGGACACCTTGCAGGTGTAGCTATCGACGAGCTGGTTGACGATGTGGTGACCGAGGAAGCCGCAGCCGCCAATGACGACAACGTTCCCAAGGTTTTTTTTAGTAACTTTAGCAACTGGCACCATTGTTCGGGATTTCGGTGGTTGATGAGACTCCAATGGGTCGTTGAAGCTATCGCGAAGTGGTCCTGACCACCGTCGGATTATTTCATGAGGCAATCCCGGATTTATTAATATCCGCCAGTCGCCACCCCTGAACTGCAGAATTGGGGTATCCCTGATTACCCGCCAATTTAACCACGATTTTTGGAGATTTGGCTTATTAGAATTATTGCATGCGAAGATGGGATTTGATTTATAGACAGTTTGTCCTATAAATCAAATCCCATCTTCGCATAAACTGTCTATAAATCAAATCCCATCTTCGCATAGTCACGCTATGCCTCACTTTCTGGACTGGAACTTATGTGACCACACGAGAATACTGAATTAACGTAAAACTATCGTGATGTTAGAAGCAAGGATCAAACCGTAGTCTCAGAGGCCTCTTCATATAAAACATCCCAAATCCAACTACAATCTCACCAGGCTCGTGCAGGTGTCCAGATATGGCTTGATCCCTATATACAGGCCGTGTCTACTTCGAGGGGGTCACCCTAGCCTTCTTTGGTTCGTCCTTCGTATTGGCTTCATCCTTCTTCTTCTCCTCCTCCTCCTCCTCCTCCTCATCTTCGTCATCGTCACCGTCATCGTCCTCATCTTCATCTTCATCTTCCTCGTCTTCGTCATCGTCATCGTCGTCCTCATCATCATCTTCCTCCGCAGCAACCTCCTTTTTCTCAAACGGCTTAGCCTTTTCAGCCGATGCAGTCGACGTCTCGCTCTCCCCACTCTTGGCAACTGGCAGGCTAACATCAGCCACCTTCCAAGCCGTAGATGTTGGCGATTGGAGAGACTTCATTTCATTTAGTGCATGCTGAGAGACAGGCGGTGTGCTTGCCGAGGATACATTCCAAGCCGATGTCTTTGGGTCTTGTAATATCGTAATAGGCTCGACAGTCTGCGGAATTTCCATCGTCGCTGACTTTTTGGTATCCTTTGCTGCGGCCTCCCCCGTTCCACTACCAACAAATACTTCGGGCTTCCCCTTCAGTGCATTTTTCTTCATGTCCTTCGCCCTCTGTGCGGCTTCTTCGCCCATTTGGCGCATCGCCAGTGTAATTGAATTGCCCCCAGCTGCAGGCGTCTGGGGAGCTTCTGCCTCTTTCGGAGCTGGTTTGGGTTCGGGAGTGGGAGGAATGGGCTGCTTCGCACCGGTTGGTAGCGGCGGTGCCGTCGGTGGAGCTGGTGCAGCGGGAGCTACCGCCGCAGCTGGCGCGGCCGCAGCAGCGGCAGCAGCCTTTATGGGATTACCAAATCCAGCAGGCGTCGAAGACACCCCGACAATACGCACATGTTGCTTAAGCTCGCCATATTCGTTCCAGTCTTCTATTTCCACCAGGTCCTGGGCAAGTCAGCGCAGTTCACAGAAGCGGATCAGATCAACAAACCCCCACTACCAGGCCCTCCTGGACCAAACCAGGGATCTTTCGCTGGCGCCCACTCTCATCTTTTCCAGCGCGCCGTCCCCATAGCATGCGTGCCTTTTCATCCGTTGCGAGATCGATAGCTTTGAATGGGATTCTGTTTGCTCTCAGGATGGTCTCAAGTCTCGATGTCGCCGTGACGATATGTGATGAGCCAGCGGTGAGCGAGGTATAGATATAGAGATGCGGGTCCATAGAATAGGACTGCGCCGGAGTTTCAGACATTGTGGCGAGAGCGATAGCTAAGCTCAGCTCAGGTGTGGAGATGCGGGGTTCGGAGTCCGAGTAGGGAGTTTAGTGGTCGATAAGGGTTGTTGTGAAGTTGTCTCGTAGAAGAGTAAGACGGTTCTCGTTCGATATAGCAAGTTCGTGACTCTGAAACGACTGCGATTTCTGCCAGCACATGAGGAGCGGTTGTTAGATCCTCCGAACCGCTTGCGTGTCCGTTCGTCGTGGTTGTTGCGACTCGAAGCGTTATCGCTTATCGCACTGCGCTTCAGGGCCTAAGCCATCCCTGAGCATCACTGACGCCATCGCTAGCCTCGGCTGGAACGGCGTTGGAGACATATATGCGCAGGCGCCACTTATTCTTTCAATATAGCAGAAAAATGGCTGCGCCGACAGGAGCTCAATTAATAGCCCAAGCTCTTCACGAGCTTGGTATCAAGGTTATATTTGGCCTGGTCGGGATACCAGTGGTCCAAATCGCTGAGGAGGCAATCAAGCTTGGGATCAGATTTATAGCTTTCCGCAATGAGCAGGCGGCGAGCTACGCAGCAACAGCATATGGATATCTTACAGGGAAGCCCGGGGTGTGCTTGGTAGTAGGCGGGCCGGGAGTTCTGCATGCCATGTCAGGGATTGGCAACTCGTCAGCAAATGCATGGCCACTACTGCTTCTGGCTGGCTCCAGCGAGTCTCATTTGGTCACAAAAGGCGCCTTTCAAGAGCTGGATGCTGTCAGTCTCCTTACGCCGCATGTAAAATTGGCGGTGCGGTCTACGCTAGAATCGATTCCTCAGAGCATCTCCAATGCCTACAGGACTTCTTGGTACGGGAGAGGAGGGACCGGATTTGTGGATCTACCAGCCGATGTGATACAAGGAGAAGGGGATGAGTTATCTAAGGTTATCGTTCCCTCACCAGCTCGAGCTGCCGGCGATCCAGAGAGAATCGCAGCTGCGGTGGAATTGCTCAGAGCTGCCAAAGCACCACTTGTTATCGTTGGGAAGGGCGCGGCATATGCCCAAGCGGAGGGCGGTATCAGAAAGCTCATCAACGACACTAAAATACCATTCCTTCCGACTCCAATGGGCAAAGGTGTCTTACCAGACTCTCATCTATCAAACACAGCCAGTGCCCGCTCAGCAGCTCTAAAAGGCGCAGACGTCGTCCTGGTTCTCGGTGCAAGACTGAACTGGATCCTCCATTTCGGCGAAGAACCCAAATGGAACCCCGACGTCAAGATCATCCAAGTCGACATCTCCGCCGAAGAGCTCGGCAAGAACAACGGCGACGCCTCCCTCTCCATAATCGGCGACATCAACCTCGTGACCTCCCAGCTGAGCAGCGGCCTAGAAAACTGGCAATACAACACCTCCACCCCCTACATCTCCGCGATCCGAGCCAGCACCGCCAAAAACGAAGCCACGGCCGCCAAAGCCGCACAGGTGGATACCCTGCCCATGACCTACGGCCGCACCTTCGCCGTCATCAAGGAGACGCTGAATGCGCTCTCGCCGCCCGCGAACGGCGATATTGTATACGTCTCCGAGGGCGCTAATACGATGGATATCTCGCGCAGCGTCTTCAATGTCGAGCATCCGCGTCTGCGTCTCGATGCAGGAACCTATGCTACGATGGGCGTGGGCCTGGGTTACGCCATTGCAGCGCACTGCGCGTATAACCTGCCCGAACCCCAAGCTGCATCGGGTCCGTCGTCTTCGCGGAAGAAGATCGTGTGTCTCGAGGGAGACTCAGCTTTTGGGTTCTCGATGCCGGAGATTGAAACTATGGCGCGGTACACTATGGATATTCTAGTATTCGTAGTCAACAACGGTGGCGTCTATCACGGCGACAGCGCTGATAGCGATGCCTGGTTGGCACTGCAGGATAAGACGGCGCAGGGTGTGGCTGGGGGGCTGAGGAGCACGAGTTTGGGGTGGGAGGTGGGGTATGAGAAGATGGCGGAGATGTGTGGGGGGAAGGGATATCTGGTGAGGACGCCGGATGAGCTGCAAAGGGCGACGGAGGAGGGGTTTAAGGCCACGGTGCCGGTGGTGATTAATATTATCATTGAGGCGGGGCAGGCGAAGAAGTTGGTAAGTTTGAACCCCTTTCAGTGTCTGTGGACTCGCGAAATCCGCGCATATGCTGTGGATGTGGATGAACTGACGCGATGTAGGAATTTGCGTGGCAGAAGAGTACGCAGAAGAAGGCCAAAAACGCCAAGCTATAAATGCTCTAATCAACGTTCCCTTCTAGAACGCAATGTACATACAATTCGATACAGTTTACGGGAACGTGCATCTATGTCTCGCTCCGTTTGCTGGTAGGGCGGCAAAGTGCATGAACAGTCATCGTCATGGTCAAAGAAACCAGGAATAGTTCAATCCTCATATCTTTCTAGGAGCCAGAGGGTCCCAGGTAAACTTGTCTCTGACCTTTCTGTTGGCATCTTCGTTTACTGCTCCCTTTTTGAAACGGTCTCATATGGCTCAAAGGCATTCTCCCTACTTTCCTTCGTTTCTCTGTCTCAAGAACGGCTCCTACGCCACGGAGTGAGCCAACAAGCGCTACTACGGAGTATAAGTTTTTCTTCTCGCCCTCTTTTGGGAGATATTTCGTCGGTATCAATTTCTCAATCACGGAATTTTCATTTCGTTATATCGAGAATTTAACTAACCACCAAAACGTACAACCCCGTCCATCAACACGACTCCAACTACCAAACGAACAACCACGTCCAACAACAACGATTGCATCAACACGCCTCCAACCATTCACCCACCACCCCAAATGTGTTTCTATTACACCACCCCCAAAAACCCCCCCCACAGCACCAACAGCAACTCCACCACCACCCGCTCCTCCAAACGCTCCCACGCCACCTCCTCCACCCGCTCCTCCCCCCAAATCCACATCCACTCACCCCTTCCCCAGCCCACCTCCCCTCTCCCCACACACCTCTACTCCCGTCCCGTCGCACCAACCTGGACATTCCCCGCCACCACCACCACCACTACTCCTCAGCCGAATGAGGGAGGGTGGGCTAATATATACCTCCCCCCCACCACTTCGGCCTTGCAGGAGGCGGGGAAGGATGGAGGGGCGGGGAGGAGGAGGTCTTCGGTGCTGGTTGCAGAGATTGAGGCGATTAGGAGGTTAGCGAGGCGGGTGGGTGATGCGGCGCGCCGTGGTAGTACTTCTTCGTTTCGTCGTGAGAGGAGGGGGTCTAACTCATCTTTTCGTCGGGAGAAGGAGAAGGAGAAGGATAGGGAGAGGGATAGGGAGCGTGAGAGGGAAAGAGAAAGGGAGAGAGAGGTCGGGAGGAGAGGAGAGAAGATGGTAGATGAGGAAGCAAGGAGAATCGCCTTAAGAAATGGAGAAGTAGTCCGCGAGCTCGTGCACGAGAGGGACGTCAAGATCGAAGCCGAGCGACTAGTCGAGCGCGAACGCGAGCGCGAGACTAGGCGTATCGGCGCCAACAATGCCAACGGCCTTGGCTTCCTCAACAACGGCGGCGGCAACGGGGGACCCTACCAAGACACCTCATACGGCCAAAGCACACCCCACATTAAATGGAGCCGCTCTCACCACGGCGGAGGCGGGTCTATGAACGGGCTCCCCGGACGAGGAGGCAGCTTCCAAGTCCCGCCCCAGGGAAGCAACCATATCCACGTCCATACCGCGCCGTTGGTGCAGGGGCCGTCGATTAGTACGCCGTCGCTGGGAGGGGGCTATGCGGCTGCGGGGATGGGGGAGGGGGGACAGTTTGTGGGGTATTGGGGGGGGGAGAGGAAGGGGATGGGAATGGCGGGATTGGGGATGGGCATGGGGGTGGGGGCGATTGGGGGGGGAGGGGGCATGGGCATGGGCATTGGGAGGGGTTACGAGAGGGAGAGGGAGAGGGTTTGGAGGGGGGGTGGGGGGTTGGGGGGGTGTTGTACTGATGGAGGGGACTAGATTGAAGGGGAGGAGGAGTGATGGGGAGGAATGAGAGGGATAGATTGAAGAAGAGGCGCCGGATGGGGCTCTGTTTATTTCCTTTCCTTTCCTTAGTGTTTATAGACCGGCTCGTCGGGAAGGGCCAAGACAACGGTAACAGAAACGAACAACACGATATGAGACTAGTAAAAAACCTTGACAAAATCGACGTTACTCCCGCATAAACCTCTATATCAATATCACACACATCCAGCCTCTCCGGCTACACATAATACCTATCTATAGCATACCATAGTACGTAGCTGTCTCTCAACTACATACCACCGCATGTATCCATGACGCCTCCCCCCCGCCGCCACCTCATCCTTCGCACCAACGGCACCCGCCGTTTCATCCTCCGCACGGGACTCATCATTGTGAAACCCGAAAACACAATAGTACTTCAAAAAGTCATTCCTACAGTCATAATCCGTCAAGTCGATACGTGTTTATCCGATATTTATCTCGATATTTATCTCGATATATTTTGCGGGATCCATCCTTTTTACATACAAACCCCGATTTACACGATATCGTGCCTTTTCTTCAGATTATCGACTTATACTAACCTCTTCTTCACTTTATAGGATGCCTCCAAAGAAGCTCAATTCGATGACTCTCGACCAACGACGTACTCTCCGCTGGCACCGCGAACAACGCCCTCGACCTTCGCAGAAAGCTTGCATCGCATGGTTCCTAGACCAATACCAGACTCGAGTCAGCCAATCTACTGTCTCTGAATCTCTTAGCGCTCGATTTGCCTACCTCGACGACACCCACAAGCAGACGATCAAGAAGCTCGACGACGACGACGTGACGCTGCTTAGCTACAGCTAGAAGCTATCCTTTTCGACTAGCAGAAGCTTATTAAACGAAGAGGAGGGGTTATAATAGGTGAAGTTTTGCAAGAGAAGGCAAAGCAGATCTAGTCATAATTACCATAACTCGAAGGGGAAACAGTCCTAGAGTTCAGCTTAGGGTAGGTCACAAGGCTTCGACAACGTCGTAAGATATTAATTAAGTTTGACACGGTAAAGCTAGATCAGTTCTAGCTATAGCAGAGGAAGAGATACGAGCAATTCAAACAGTAGGGAATACTTAGAGGAGAATATATATAACATAGACGAGACAGGACTATACTACAAGATGACAATATCAAGGGGCTTTATAACAGTAGAGGCAGCTATAGGTCGGAAAAGAGAGAAGGTAAGAATATTAGTAGTTGTTTGTGTTAATTTAACTAGCACAGATCGATTTCTACTATGGTTTATTAGAAAGGCAAAGACACTACAAGCTCTTCGAAATGTTAAAGTCATAGTAATAGGAGGGGTTTAGAGATGGAATAAAAAGGCTTAGATGAATTAGTTCATTATAGCAGAATGGTTAAAGGCCTTCTATTTATGAGTAGGCATATCTTGATTAATACTCCTAACGATAGATAACTTCTTAGCGTATATCGCTACTATTACATCAACTCCTCCTCCCCTAAACATCTACATCATTTAGCTTTCTCTAAATGTAACAAGCCAATTTCAACCTCTTAATTAAGGCATCATCGCTACCCTTAAAGCATACTACTAGTGACAATGGCTCTACTATATGCTTAAATGTTACAAAGTGAATAAAGACCCCATCTAAGTGTTACGATCACAGCTTACAGCTGCTAGCAACTATAGGAATAAGCAGCTATAGTAGCCACTAAGGTTACAAGGGATCGCTAAGTGAACAGCTGTATATAATGAGGGATAGCCTCACCTTCCTTCCTTTCTTCTTCTTCTCTCTTTAGATTCAATCTAGCTTACTTTACCTAGACTGTCATCATGACCTCCGTAACCATTATAACATATCTAAGCAATGAACGTCCGACTTCCTATTCGATGGCTCATTTAATCATAGACTTACGATGTTATAAACATAACTATTGTAAGGACACAGGGCACCCAGCTCACAGTAATAGCATATGAGAGTGCGAGTCAGAGGCTAAACGGATGCTATCCTATAGGTCTACTACGAAGGATACAAAAAAGATAAAGAGAGGAACCCCCGTTGGATCAATCTCCTTAAGTACCCGAAACGGGTCTGACTCGGCTAACCTGCCTTCACCCTCACCACGTGACCGTGACTTGTCTGACTCAGATACCTTCCGTCACTGAGGGAGAGGAACCCCCGTTGGGTCAATCTCCTCAAGTACCCGAAATGGGTCCGACTCGGCTAACCTGCCTTTACTCTTATCATGTGACCGTAATGTGCCCGACTCAGATCCTTTCCGTCACTGAGGGACAGGCATCCTTACAACTTCGTTGTATGGGTCACATCATCAATCTCACAGTTAAAGCCTTCCTTTTTTGTGATACTAAGCACGACGTCTCACCTAATCCAACACCGCTTGAACTATCCAATTGGCACATAAATGGGGCTCTTGGAAAGCTTCACAACATTGTTGTTTTTGTACAACGGTCGCCACAACGAATTGCTGAATTTAGAGAGTATAGCCAAGGCAAAAGGCTTGAACGGGACAACTCAACTCGTTGGAACTCATGGTCTCATATGATTGGCTGCACTCTACGGCCTGGTGTTCAGCCTGCAATTCGGATGTTTTGCTCAGAGCACAAGGACGAGCTTTGGGATGATACTTTGACTACTGATGAGTGGTCTCATCTTGAAGAAGTATTTGGGATTCTTAAAATCCTAGAACAAACTACACTTGATGTTAGCCTGAGCTTAAGCCCCAGCAGATCTTCAGCATCGAACAGGTCTTTGATGCATCTCTCAAGAAGACAGGGATGGGACGCGGCTTGCCTGAGCCTCAGAAGCTGTGTCAAATATAACCCATAGTTTTTCTCGGTCGTTCCTGCCTTGAAATGGTTGTTCATCATTCCACGGAAACGGTCTTCCAATGTGCGATAGATTGCTCTCTCCACTCCGCTGAGAGTCAAAGTCTGCAAGGAAGGATGAATTGGCGGCAGCTGAACCAAAGGACGTCCAAGTATTGTGGATCCAATTGTTCTCCTCCTATTATTGATTAGCCCATGTACACTCCTGTATTACTTTTCTACTCACATCATAATCACACTAAGCATGACATTCAGTCTCTTAGTTGAATCGTTGGCATCGGGATCTCCAAAGTTTTTCTTGAAAACAGGGAAAGAGCTTGCCCAGTTCAGGCGAAGAAAGCGAAAATATGGATAGAGCTCGTTGAGGCTGTTTAAGACAGGAGTGCCTGAAAGAGTCCATCGGTAAGTTGAGTCCAGCTTGTGGCAAGCTATTGAAGTCCGTGACCTATAATTTTTGATCGCCTGAGCTTCATCCAGGACAATTCGGTACCATTTGACTCGCTGTAGGTCGCCTTTAAGTGAATTGCGATTATTGGCCCACTCATCCTCTCCTAATAGCCTTGTGTCAGCCTTGTCTTCCACAGAGCTTGGAAATGGCCAGCTATTTGCAACTTCCGTAAAGCTCATCAGCACAATATCGCAGTCTGAGAGAATGTTGGTAGATATTCTTGAAGACGACTTATAAGGCATGACTTTTTGGAAAATCTTCTCGTCGACATGCACTTTGATTTCTGCCTCCCACTGTGAAAGTAAGCTTGCCGGGACTACTATGAGCGTAGCTTTTCTCATCGCTGTGATGTCCTTTTCTGCTGGCGGATTTCTGACCATCGTAGCCAAAGTCGATACAGTCTTCCCAAGACCCATAGCATCTGCCAATAGACACCCATGAGGCCGATCCAAGGAAAGCTCACGTTTAACCATCCAATCTGCCGCCAGTAACTGGTGATGGTACAGTGGCGTCTTCATGCCGACCAGAAGCCATTTCCCATTTTTCGCTTTGACTCGCCCATGACCAAGCTCTCTTGGCAAGGTTATTATGACCATGGATTTTTTGCTTAAGCTTTTCGAAGACATTACAGAGTCAAAAACGGAAATCAAATATTCAGATGCAATTAAATCTATGGCTAATGATGCATGAAATAAGCTCAACAAGTACTACAATATGACAGAGGCAAGTGAGGCTTATATTGCTTCAATTGTTCTTAATCCTCAGATCAAATGGGTGTACTTTACAAAGCAATGGCCTGATTGGATTAATCAAGCTAAAAAGGACATGTTGGCCTTCTGTCCACTTAAATATGTTATTCCTGCTCTGGCCGTACCCCATGGCGAGAATAAGTCTCTTGGCTGCACACTTCTCCTGAGGGGTAATAGAGCGATTCAGCAGTGTTCGACAGTCGTCAGCTTGACACTGCCTAATCTGGTGATGCCAAGCAGTACTAGAGTACTACTAGATTATATTAGTATTAGAGCAATAGAATCCTTGTTTAGTACTTACCATACCTCCTAATTAGGCAATATCAAAAGTTTGGTGATATTGACTGTATTGAACACTGCTGAATCGCTCGGTGTAGAAAAGTTGGATTATGATCGGTCGTTAGATAATTCTCCCCTTCCGGCCATACCCCCTATGGCGTTCCCTTTGTAATCCCCTATGTGACTAGAGCCCTTTGTTCCCTCTGTAAAATACTGGCCTTTGATAAATTTTTCTACTTCAGTAAGTGCTTTGGAACTGGGCGGGTGGGGGAGAGGTGGTGGCAGCTGGAAAGAGATACATCGTGGTACGTATATTGCCATACAAATATATATGTAAATGGAAGTACCTATATATACCCTTTTGTGACTGCCACCACTGCAAATTACCCCTATTCGACCACCACTTTCGTTATAAAATATCTTTGCGACGTAGCTACTATATTGTGTAAAAATAAAGGAGGTTATAGTAATATAACCTAATGTCGGATACTGAAGAGCTAGAGTTGATTGCTCTTACTGTTTGCGCAGCAGCCTTACTTGTTCGACGTCGTCGCCGGCGCCGATATTATCGGTGGCTTATACGTTCTTTACATATAACTCAACGCCCACAAGCCCGGATTACATACGAATATGAGAAGTTCAACTGGAATCTATGATCGTGGGGTAGTCAAACTCCAGGGCGGGTAGTTCACAAGTTCCGGTAAGTAATTGAATAGGGGTTGAGGTTTGGGGTATAGGTTCTTATACTATTAAGGTTTTCAATCGAGGAAATCGCCCGGCTTGTGCCACTCCTTCGGCTTTATAAAATCGAATGGAGAGACCGGGTAAAGCCAGACTTAGAGACTGCTCTTTGTGTAGTCCTAGCTCGCCTTGCGTATCCAGGACGTTGGTCAACCTGCGCTGATCTTTTTGGGCGGTCGCAGCATGACTCTCTACAGTTTTCAACGACGTAATGAGCCACTTAGTACACGAGTTTGAGGCTGTACTCGAGTGGCACCCATACCTTACATACAAGAAGCTGTTACAATTCGAAGAAGCGATTGAAGACAGTGGTGGGTGTGGTCAAATATGGGGGTTTGTTGACGGAACCTTCCAAGGCTTTTGTCGACCAGCAGGAGACTCCGAAGTCCAGCAGCAGTGGTATTCTGGATATCAAAAGAAGCACGGAATGCACTTCCAAGCAATTGTAACCCCAGACGGGCTTGTATCGTCCTTAATTGGACCATATAACGGACCTGCAAACGACTGGCGAATATGGCAGGATTCTGGCTGCGTACAGCGGATCCGGCATACTATAGGAGGAAGAAAGGATTTATATCTTTATGGGGACCCTGCCTACCGTTGTACAGAGGGTATTCTAGCCCCATATACTTGCCCTCGTGGTCATCGATATCTTCCACAAAAGCAGAAGCAGTTTAATAAGGCGCTATCATCTGTAAGAATTGCAGTAGAGAACGCCTTTGGGTTAGCACAACAGTTATGGACATATACAGCATTTGACAAAGGGTTACAGTCACAATCGCAGCCTGTAGCTGCTCACTTTAAAGCTGCAATACTGCTGTCAAACTGTTATACCTGTATTCGTGGCAATTTGATCGGGACAAGGTTTCTAGTACCACCACCAACAGTAGAGGAGCATCTTTGTTATAATAGCTAGCTACGATATATACTAATTACTTGACTCTATCCAACCCTCTACTTCGTTGATCCCATTGTGCTGTGAGCTCTCAACTGGGATGCTTCGCCGGATAGGCCCATGAAGCGCTTGCTCAAGTAACGATATCATCGTTGACTGGCCTTTTTTTATTATAGGAAGGGGAAGATATTTGCAGGCGCTTCTTGCGGCTTCTTCCTTGACTGACTGACTGGCCACAAGCAGAAGAAGTGCTTTGATAAACTGGCGTTGAGGTTTCAAAAGGAGGCGAGTTGATAGAGCTGATGTCCTCACAGTTATCACTTTGTAGCTCTTCGTCGTCGTCTACGTCAAAGCCTGAGAGCTCCCGCGCTCTTTGGCCAATAGACTTATCACGACTTTTTGGAGGATTCCTCTGGTATTTCCTCTTTGCCGCAAGGGCTACAGAGAGTGAGTCCCGGATATCCTGCGCCCGCTGAAGTAAGAACAGTATTTGCTGCCTCACTTCGCTCCTTATTAAGTCGCTCCTCCTCACCAACAACATCAATCCAGTTATCAATCTGGACAGTCAATTCGCTCTCGCTGTCTGTCTGACCAGTCCCAAGACTGTCAAGGTATGCCCTCCTCCTTTCAGTTTCCCGGCGTAATACTCAGTGAAGGCTCTTTGTAACGCTGACTTCTAAATGATAGAAGACACAGAGGTTTCTTGCGTAAGGTTGACTTGACAGAGGAGGCAGGGGATTAGACACAAAGGCTTTCCAAGTAACACGTTACAGTATTGTAAAGAATACTATATTGAGTTGAGCACGAAGCTCCTATCTAAGCCAATATCCACTAGTTTCTGCAACTATCCATTAGCCCCATCACATGGCAGCCTACCCCGCTTGCCCCCTGTGACTCACACGTCACGTTACTAGGCCCTGGTCCTGTAACCATGACATCATGTTACCGTAGCTGTAACATTTTGCCATGATGGTGAACTAAGGATCTCTTTAAATCTTTGACTCTAAGTTGGAAGATCTTGACTTGCTTGAAATGTTTGTTATGGTGTTTTTAAAACAGTCGGCTTGCGTATATAGCAACTTTCTCTTTAATCTTCTCATAGTTAGCTGGGTAAATACCAGCATCTCTAAATGATTTTATACAATTGCCCTTTGTAAATGTTTGCTTGCGGATTGTAGATATGTCTCAGAAAAATGATATAACATTGTAGTTATTGTCAAAATTCCGGATTACTTGTTGAATTGCATGCTAGTGCCAATGTTTATATTGTGCAAATACCGTAACATCAAGAGGTTGTAGAATATACGTAAGGTGAGAAGGAAACAGATGTAAGTGTAGGTTGTTTTGATGTGTAAGTATTATAAACTCTAGAACTTCATGTAAAATATGAGAGTCCATTATAAGTTAACTTTGCCTTTGTAGAGCATGTAGAATGTTGGATAAAATGCTGTAGATATTCCATTGCAAGCTTAGAGTTTGTATATCCAGAATCTAATACTGCAACTTTCTCATCACCATGTAGATTATTATGAAACCAACTTTCCATATGAAGCTTTCCTTGAATTATAAGGAACAGTGGAAGGGCAATGCCAGCAGCTGAAATTGTCTCTATAACTGTAAGACTTTGTCTATTCTCTAGAGCTTGTATATAAAGCTATATAGATTAGAAGAATATCATATAAGGCAAGTACATATAACTTACCTCCTTTACTGCTATAGGTACTAACACATGTTCACTGGTGCTCATTCCTACTCGGAATCCAACTTCATAAAAGTTATAGATGTCTGCTGTAGTAACGTCTAGTTGACTGCATACATCTTTAAATTGATGAAACCATTCTTCAATAGCTAATACTTCATGAGAAACAACACGTGCTGCTTCAATTGGCCGGGTTTTGATAGTGTGGAAAGTCTTGTGTTAAGTCTTAATCCATGTTTGGAACCACCGTTGTGATGGTGTCGGGATTTCAGCTGCTAGTAGTTGGCAAATGGCACTAAACACTATAGGCTTTGTTGCACCGTACCCATTTTCATACGATCGTTGTATGTATCTTTGTATAGCTATAACTTGGATATCAGAAAGTATTTTGTTGTTACCTCCACGAGGCTTCGGTGGCTTGTTAGGAGGTCGTCGCGGAGGAGTACGTCGCATACGGAGTGTAACCGGGTTTACACGGTAGATCCTAGCTGCTACGGCAATAGTCTCCGTTGGGTTATCATTTAGAAAGTCAATGGCATTTTGAAGAGCTTCATTTCTAGCTATATCAATTGGCATCGTTGTGTTTCGTTGTTCCGCTGTTTTCGTTGTCGCGTTCGACGCTTCGCCTCTAGGCGGTGGTTTGGAAACCAACGATTACGTCTAATTAAGTTCACAGAATCTAGGAGTAGTAGCACGAAGGAGGCAGCAGTGTATTTGCGGTCCTTTGAGAAGTTTGAGAGAGAGTTAGGGCTTATAGTAGCCAATTCTAAGGCACAGGGAACCTTAGATGGCTGGTTTATGTAAATAACCTCATTTTATATAGATGTCACGTGAAATTTGATATCTCAATATTTACGCTATCTCGACATTATTTACGGGAGCTAATCGACTTAACGGATTATGACTGTAACTCTCCCCTAACCTCCCCGGATCTTTCCTCTCCACACTCCACGCACACTCCACACTTCCCCCACACTTTTTCGGTCGTGACTTGTGTCCTGAGCCGAGATACGTAGCCGGCCCGTCTGCCACTCTGTCTTTCGCACCTTCATATCCCGAAGCCAAAGCCGTTCGTTGATTCATGTTATGCAACCCACCAAGATTGTCTCACGCGATGGATGTTCAACACTCGCCTCAACCCTCGATCCTGTCTGGCTCCGGCCTCAAGCGCGACAGCGACGGGGACAACTACCAGTACGGTAGTGGCGACGAGAGTCTCGCCGGAGATGGAGATGTTAATGAAAACGGTGATGGCCCGCGTAAAGCACAGTGTCGTCCCGTGAGGGTATCGTAAGACATCCTTTTCTTACGGTACTAACCTTTCTTTTCATGCGTAAAAAAATATTTATTACGCGCTATCTACTACACATTGTACCGAGTAAAAAGTATGTGGATTACAGATAGCTGACGACTTGAAGGTGTGAATTATGCAAACAGAGAAAGGTATCCACCAACTGCTTCCCCGCTGGAATATGCATCGCCGAGGTGTTCCGGGAAGACCGCGCGATGGGCCTGTGAACCCCAGACTTACCATCTGTAGGTCAAATGCGATCGCGGACAGCCATCCTGCCGCTGGTGCAGTCGTAACGGCGCGAGATGCGAATACAAGGAGCGGAAGAAGCCTGGGCTTAGAGTAGGTTACTGTGAGGACTCCGGTTGTGCACCACGCGACTAATACCAATAGGCTGGCTATGGACGCGAACTCGAGCAGAGATTGGACAGGTTGGAGGACATTCTGCAGACGCATGCGCGCATCCTTGAGACAGCACTGGCCCCGCAGCAGGGCAACCAGGGCAATCATGTCAACCAGAGCAACCAGGCGGCACTGCACGATGGACAGATGCTGGGGAACCACCTTCCGAGGGTAGAAGGCCAACCATTCATGCAACAAAAGACTTCGGCATTCTCTGGATCTACCCCGCAACATGCCGACTTTCCCAACTCGCTGTCGCCGCCCACGCCGTCGATGCAGTCGATGCAGGGGGATGCGTATATGCAACAACAGCACCAGGCGCAGCAACACCAAGCCCAGCAGCAGCAACAGCAGATTATCCAAAATGGATCTCAGTCGGCGGCGCAATTCTACAACACCGCTCAGCCGCCAGTGCAGTCGCCCACCTTGAACATCTCGGAGAGTATGACAGAAGTCCCATCTGATAGCGACCTGCCGCCATACGATCTGCTTTACGCCCTAGTGGATCTGTTCTTCAAGCATGTAAATACATGGTGTTCGATGCTGCACCGCCGGTCGACGCTGGACTCCCTCTTTGGGCCATCACAGTTGGAAGAGGCAGACAGGATACTCTTACACGCCATCGTTGCGACGACTTTGAGGTTTTCCAATGACCCGCGGTTGACAGATGAGAGGCGCAGCCATTACCACGACATCTCTAAGCAGAAAGTTTTACTGTATGGGCTGGAGAATTCATCTGTCAAGGCCCTACAAGCAATGGTCATACTCGCCCTGGACCTAGTCGGAGATAGCAATGGCCCCCCTGGATGGAACGTTCTCGGTCTCATTACGCGGGCAGTCGTTCAACTTGGCCTGGCCGTTGAGACGACCTCCTTCTCAGTAGCGCCTGACTACCAATCCATCTACACACTTCGCGCCATGGTATTACCAGACGCAAAAGATTGGATCGAAGACGAATCCCGCCGCCGGCTCGTCTGGATGATCTACCTCCTCGACCGCTACGCCACCATCGCCACAGCATTCGAATTCGCCCTCGACGAGAAAGAAATCGACCGCAAGCTCCCTTGCCGCGACGACCTCTGGAACAAAAACGTCCCCGTCGAGACCCGCTGGTTCCACACCCACACCCACGCCGAATTCAGCCAACCCCCTCCCCCCGAGAACCTCGGCGCCTTCTCCTACTACATCGAGATCCTCGGGATCCTATCACGCATCCACCAATTCCTAAAGAAACCAGTCGACATCTCCGCCCTCCCCGATGTCGAGAAGTGGCAGGGCGAGTACCGCGAACTCGATAACCTGCTCACGTCGTGGAAATTCGACCTCCCACCGGACTACGGCAGTATGGCGCGCCTCTTCCAGCCGGGAAGCAGTCGCACAATCACCTGCGGCTGGGTCATGCTCCATGCCACCTACCACACCACCGTAATCCGCCTCCACTCCTCCGCCGCCTACCCAACGACTCGCTCACCGATCTTTACACCCTCATACTCGGCCTCCCAGCGCTGCCACGGCGCGGTAGAGAATATAGCCGCCCTCGGCGAATTCGTCGTCGCCAATAACATGCTCCCCAAGCTCGGCCCGCCATTCGCTTTCACCCTCTGGGTCGCGGCGCGGCTGCTGCTCGTGCATGGATCGACGATTGAGCATAAGTTGTCCCCGCAGATCCAGTTCTTCGTCGATACACTCCACGCTATGAGCCGGTACTGGAAGGTCGCTGGGCGCTACTCGACCATTCTTCAGCGAGTACTGGATGAACACTCCGACTCCGAGACTTCCGCTGCTGCCAATGGGGAGGAGCGGGTTACCCCTTCTAGCGTCAAGATACTAGCTGATATGAGACGCTGCGCATATGATCTCGATTTCCTCATCTCCCGCCAACCGCGCCATATCGGTGCGCTGGGCCGACTAGGGGGGCAGGGACAGCCGAATCGGACGCCCGCGCAGAATGAGTTGGAGTATTTGGATGTTTTTGATTTCTTTAATGTGCCCAGGTTGCGGCCTGCCGTGGTGGGCGGGGAGGGGTTGGGTGGCACGGGGGGAAGGGGGGGGGAGGCGGGGATGCAGGTTGAGGGGGAGCTTGGGGCGGCGGGGGCGAATGGGAATGGGAATGGGAATGGGGGGGAGTTTAATATTACGAATTTTATGGTGGATGCGAATTCGGATTGGTTGTTTAAGAATTAGAATCAGGTCTGAGGGGGGATTGGGGCGGGGGAGTAAGAAAAGGGTGTTGTGGGCGTCTTGCGGGGGGGGGGGGGGGTTGGGTCGAGGATCGGATAATCTTGGATACCTGGATGGATGTTGGATATTGATATTAAGGGTCGAAAGGAAGGGTTGGGTGTTGAAGGAGAAAATGGGTTACTGTTAATACAAAGGGTCACATAGTCATTAGTCCATCGGAAGGCACTGCATCACTCGCACCTTCCGCAGCTATTCATGCACATACACATTTCACCATTCACATCATCATATCACATCAGCCGTCCCACATTGAAGCCTCCATGTGTGCAGACCAGAAGTATTAATTCCATCCTCTCTTCGCATCTCAGAAAAATTAATTCCCTCCCACTCCTCATCACTTCGACAATCTTAATCCCACCCCTCTTCCCCTTGCCCGCTTCTGATTTCTAAATCATGTATGTACCGTAGTTGTGCACAACCATTGTCGTATCGGGTATATCGATCTACCTCCACCCCGAACCCCCAAAAGCAAAATTCTGAGCGCCTGTTCCGTCTCTTTCGTCCGTCGTCCGTCGTTCCTTCCCTCCACCTTTCGTCATCCCGTCGCTCCTTCCCGTTCCCGCCCATCCTTCGCTCCTTCCCGTCAATTTTTTCCTCCCACCTCCCTCGTTCCTTCCCCAACCTATTCGATTTCCCTAAAAACAAGAAAGGCGTTCACATAAACCCCATCCCCACACTCACCGCCAAAAGCGCCACAACCCAAGCCCCCATCCCCAACCTCACCTTCTCGCCCGCACTGGTGCCCAGAGGGGCGCTGCTGGAGGTGCTGGTGGTGCTGGTGGTGCTGGAGGCGTCGGTGGGCTGGACGACGGTGATGTCGGTGATGGTCTCGACGTCGCCGTGGGTGTCGGTGGTGGTGCGGATGTGGGTGCTGGAGAGGGAGGAGTTGGTGAAGGTGTAGGTTGGGAAGGTGGGGCCGCCGGTGGTAGTGAGGGTGGGGAGGGTTGTGAGGTTGGACATTTTGGGGATCGATTGAGCTGAAGAGCTGAGAGCTGGAGAGGTTGGTTGGCTGATTGATTGATTGATTGATTGAGTGATACACGTGACTTCGACTTATATAAACACTTCAGATCCTGACGACGCTGACTGGTAGCTTAACTGAAAATTTCCAACAAAGGAAGGCCAAGCGGCGAACTCGCTTTCCTTTATTCCTTCCTCCCCTTCCCTGCTCCGTCAGCAAAGGACGCAGCCAGACGGATACGAGATGTAGCGGGGCACACAGTGTGTCGATTGCTGTTGTGCCAGGTGGTGGCGTGGCTTTTTGCCTGGTGGATATCGCTGAATGGTCTGAGTGAGGTTGGTGAGGCAAGGGGGGCTGGTGCTGGTAGCTGGGTTACGGGTCCAGCGGGTGGAACGGGATCGTGCTGGACCCAGTACCAACTATCTAACTATTAACTTGCACTGAATTGTTATTACTATAGTACTACTACTACTACAGCTATGGGGAGAAGTTGTACGACTTCCTGCCTGCGGTATTACTATGGGTAAAGAATTTGCGTAGCATTGTTATGGCTATGGTGTATTTATAGCCCGCTATAGCGTCGGGCAATTGATGACGAGGCAAAGCACCTTACCTCCCCCTCTCACAGCCTCCAGCAATATGCGCGATTGATTGGCCGCCTACAGGTCGTCGCAGCTTATCGCTCTCCGGCTGCTGTGGTGCGTGCTTTCTGTGTTGTTGACAACAGCCACGCTACTGCAGTCTACCTACATCGAAGGATCTAAACTTTCCCGGAACAGCGGCATCGGCGCGATTAGGAAGGGATGACCGGAATGTGTGGGACGCGCCGTTGGGGTTTCCGTCGTGACGATGGGGGGGTGCGGTGACGGGTTAGGGAGGTTGTGGTGGATGGTGGGCAGTGGGCAGTGGCAGTGGACAGTGGGCAGTGGCGGTGGACAGTGGGCAGTGGGCAGTGGCAGTGGCAGTGGACAGTGGGCAGTGGCGGTGGACAGTGGTTAGTGGCAGTGGACAGTGGGCAGTGGCAGTGGCAGTGGACAGTGGACAGTGGGCTGTGGCAGTGGACAGTGGGCAGTGGCAGTGGACAGTGGGCTGTGGCAGTGGACAGTGGACAGTGGGCTGTGGCAGTGGACAGTGGTTAGTGGACAGTGGGCAGTGGACAGTGGGCAGTGGACAGTGGCGGTGGACAGTGGGCAGTGGCAGTGGCAGTGGACAGTGGGCAGTGGCGGTGGACAGTGGTTAGTGGCAGTGGACAGTGGGCAGTGGCAGTGGCAGTGGACAGTGGACAGTGGGCTGTGGCAGTGGACAGTGGGCAGTGGCAAGTGGACAGTGGGCTGTGGCAGTGGACAGTGGACAGTGGGCTGTGGCAGTGGACAGTGGTTAGTGGACAGTGGGCAGTGGGCTGTGGCAGTGGACAGTGGACAGTGGCAGTGGACAGTGGACAGTGGGCTGTGGCAGTGGACAGTGGTTAGTGGACAGTGGGCAGTGGACAGTGGGCAGTGGACAGTGGCGGTGGACAGTGGGCAGTGGCAGTGGCAGTGGACAGTGGGCAGTGGCAGTGGACAGTGGTTAGTGGCAGTGGACAGTGGGCAGTGGACAGTGGGCAGTGGCAAGTGGACAGTGGGCAGTGGCAGTGGACAGTGGGCAGTGGGCTGTGGCAGTGGACAGTGGTTAGTGGACAGTGGGCAGTGGACAGTGGGCAGTGGGCAATGGCAGTGGACAGTTGGCAGTGGCAGTGGACAGTGGACAGTGGACAGTGGTTAGTGGACAGTGGGCAGTGGACAGTGGGCAGTGGCAGTGGACAGTGGGCTGTGGCAGTGGACAGTGGGCAGTGGCAGTGGACAGTGGTTAGTGGTCAATGGTCAGTGGACAGTGGTCAGGATGCTCATTCCAGTGATATTGCTACCACTTACCACATGGAGCAGAGTGTGCGTGAGTGTATCAATATCCACCGTCCACCGTCCACAGGCACATGCTTTCCTGACGCTTTCACCGCACGAGTACGGTACGAGTACCACCATTCTCCGGTTCACAGTGCCATGCGGCTGGTACTTTATTGTACACTTTGTCCGCCACGGAACTCGGTGCTTGCTTGTACTCGGCCGTCGGTCCTGGGTTAATACCCACCGAGAGACACCGAGGACTGTGAGCGTCACACCCCACAAAACACACTACGCCCGCATTGTCCTCGTGTTGATCGTGAGGGAAAGGGCCTACCGGTCCCCCCCATTCCGCCTTCTTCTTCTCTTCTCCCCTCAATCTCTCTTCTCTTCTTCAATCCTCAATCCATTCAAATACTTGGTTCCTCCCAGCCAGGTAGGACTCTGAGTGCCATTCCTCAATTAATCCGCGCATTTTATAACATAACCCCAACGACATGATGGTTAAAAAATTCCCCAAGATAAAGGCCATCAGGACCTACGTGATCGATGGCGTTGGCTCCGGAGGCGATTACCACAATGTCGAGGGCGGCCATTGGTATGTACCACAGACACGATCGTCTCAAGATCACCATACTATCACCCCGCACCTTACTGACGAGTATGCCAGGCTGGTCGATACCTCCATCTCCACGCCTATGTCGAGATGGGAGCAATATCGTGCTTCGAGACTGACCTGGGGAATTAATGTTCTGGGTTCTTTCTGTGTGGAGATCGAGGGGACAGATGGCACAGTTGGCTTTGCTACGGGATTCGGAGGTAGCTTAGGCTCACCGCCATGAATTCACAACCGGCATTTCTAACATTTACCCAGGTCCTCCTGCCTGCTGGCTCGTCCACCAGCACTTTGAGCGCTTCCTGATCGGTGCTGACCCGAGAGACACAAACCACATCTTCGAACAAATGTACCGCGCCTCCATGTTCTACGGCCGCAAGGGTCTCCCCGTGGCTGTCATCTCCGTCATTGATTTGGCACTTTGGGATCTCCAAGGAAAGGTTCGCAACGAGCCAGTCTACAAGCTGATCGGTGGTGCCACCCGCGAGAAGCTCGATTTCTACTGCACCGGCCCGGAGCCCACCGCTGCCAAAAATATGGGGTTCTGGGGAGCAAAGGTCCCGCTTCCGTACTGCCCAGAAGAGGGCCACGCCGGTCTCAGGAAGAACGTTGAGTTCCTCCGCAAGCACCGCGAGAGTGTTGGACCAGACTTCCCAATCATGGTCGATTGCTACATGAGCTTGAACGTCCAGTACACAATTGAGATTGTCAAGGCCTGCTTAGACCTCAACATCAACTGGTGGGAGGAGTGTTTGTCGCCAGATGACACTGATGGATTTGCGCTCATCAAGCGCGCCCACCCGCAAGTTAAGTTCACGACCGGAGAGCATGAGTACTCGCGCTACGGATTCCGCAAGCTCATCGAGGGCCGCAACCTCGACATCATCCAGCCCGACGTCATGTGGCTCGGTGGACTGACCGAGCTCCTCAAGGTCTCCGCCATGGCCGCCGCCTACGACATCCCTGTCGTCCCCCACGCCAGCGGCCCCTACAGTTACCATTTCGTTATCTCGCAGACCAACTGCCCCTTCCAAGAATACCTCGCCAACTCCCCCGACGGAAAGAGCGTCCTTCCCGTCTTCGGCGACCTCTTCATCGACGAGCCAATCCCAGTCAACGGCTACCTCACCGCAGACCAGCTCGACAAGCCCGGCTTCGGACTTACCCTCAACCCCGCCGCTCGCCTGATCCCCGCACAATACCTCCTCACCCCCAACCCGGAACGCCCTCTCGGCGGCCCACTCCAGCGCGCACAGATCGAAGCTGCCCCAGTCGCCGCAGCACCAGTTGTTTCACGGGAGGCTTCTGTCCCAGCAGTCGCTGCGCAGGAGGCTGCTGCCGCGACGGAGAAGTCCACGCCAGCGGTTGATGGAGGGAAGGAGCAGACGAGTATTGTGGAAGGGCTGGTGAATGGGGTCAAGGGGTTGACGACATCTGCATGATTGGAGGCTTTATAAAACTACATACTCTTTGCTGTTTGCTCTTTGCTTGATTGTCTGTTGCCTTTCATTGGCTTCGCAGGGGAACAAATTGACTTGTGCTTTTTTTGCGGTAGAAGGTAGTTAGACCTTTTGTGCATATAATTCGAAACTATCTCTACTACTCTCCTACACTTAACGGTTATTGACATGGATTGGACATATAGCTGCAGGAGCGAAACTTGCATGCACCATGCGCACGACCCCCATCCCCCGCATTCCCCCAATTTTTTTTAATAAAAATAAAAGGAATTATCGGCCTCGTGGCTCCTCCGTCTCGCAGATCTTGTGTGCGTACGTGGCGGGTATACATGCGGGCATACAGTTTACCTCTCTTCCTAATTTCTCCGTCTCGGCAAAATCGTCATTTTGTGTTTCGGCACGTCGGGGATGGGACAAAGACCACCGAATATGGCGGGGTGCAGCGGGGAACCTAGGTGGGTTGGGGGTGAAGGCGCTAGCGGAAATGCGCCGCTGGGGTGGGAGGGGAGGTGGGATTTGCCGGATGCGGTGGATTGGAGAGGGGAGGGGATATACATAGCAAGTCAGTGTTGCATGTTCAGTGGTGTTAGTAGTGTTAGTTGTGTTTAGCAGGAAATAATTACGAAGTTTTTGAAGTTTTATTTGGCGAGTTAAAGCTATAGCTACACTGTTCAACACGCGATTCAACCATCCCACCTACCCATACGACCATCTCTCACCCTCACCCTCACCCATCACAACCTCAACAACAAATCCAGAAAACACAAATGCCACCAACCGCCCTCCTCGCCTCCAAAACCGCCGCCATAACCGGCGGCTCCACCGGCATCGGGCGCGCCATCACCCTCGGTTTCCTCGCGCAAGGCTGCAACGTCGCCGTCAACCATCTCGGTCTCTCCTCTGATGCTGCACTCCTCGCCTCCTTGATCGAGGAAGCGAAGGGGCTCAAGGAGAAAGATGCGGGTGCGGGGGAGCTGATGGAGGTGCAGGGTGATATTTCCCTGCCGGAGACGGGAAAGGAGTTGGTGAGGAAGACGGTGGAGAGGTGGGGGGTATTGGATGTTTTTGTGAGTAATGCGGGGGTTTGTAAGTTTGCTGAGGTTTTGGAGTGAGCTCTCCCTTCTCCTTATTTTTCCCTCTTTATGAGGCGTGTGGGATGGCTCCGGGTGGGTGCTGGTGGCGGTGGTTACAGTTGAGGTTACTAACCAAACCAGCATGGAACCCGACCTCTTCGCCTCAACAGTAAACATCAACCTCAACGGCGCCTTCTACGCCTGCCAAGCCGCCGCCCGCCAAATGGCCACCCAAAGCCGCGGCGGCTCCATAATCGGGATGTCCTCCATCAGCGCCCTCGTTGGCGGCGGTCAACAAGTGCACTACACACCCACCAAAGCCGGGGTAACCTCGCTCATGCAATCTATGGCCGTCGCACTGGGGAAGCATGGGATTAGATGTAATGCGTTATTGCCCGGGACCATTAGGACGCAATTGAATGAGGAGGACTTGAAGGGGGAGAAGGAGACGTATATGGAGGGGAGGATTCCGTTGGGGAGGATTGGGGAGACGAGTGATATGGTGGGCCCGGCGATTTTTTTGGCGTGTGGGGAGTTAAGTGGGTTTGTCAATGGGGCGCAGCTTTTGGTGGATGGGGGGATGTTTGTTAATCTGCAGTGAGAATACTGGTGCAGAGTTTGTTAAATGGACATATAAACGTGGAAGGGAAAGCGGACTTGTATCCCTTGTTTGCATGCAATAGCTAAGTTATGATTCATCTACCAAAAGCTACATTTCACCCTACAACGACTTCTCCACAGCCTCCAACTGCCCAACCGCCCCCTTCCAATTCTCCCACTCCGCATCTCCTCCGGGAATCCCACCCACAAGCGGCAACCTCGTCCCATCCCTCTCCCCTAACCCCAACACCCTCGAAACCGCCTCCTTAATCCCCACCGTTCCAAACCTCACCACCAGCTCCTCCACCGCACTAATCTTATACTGCAGCGTCCTCGCCTCCTTGATGTCCTCTGCAGTCTTGCCCTCCTTAAGACACAGGTCGTAGAGGTGCACTACCGACTTGGGGAAGAATCCAGCACTACCGTCAATCGTGCCGGCGCATCCTAATGCTAGGATGGGGAGAAGCTGCTGTCCGAGACCGGTGAAAGTGTGGAAGTGGCTGTGGTCGATAGAGGGGTTCGCGCCGATCTGGGCGTGGTACGAGATATCGCCGTGAGAGAGCTTGCAGCCCACAATATTGGGGTGGGCGGAGAGGGTGGCATAGGTGGAGGGGGTGACTTTGACGTTGTTGGAGACGCCGGGGTAGTGGTAGCTACGGGGTTGTTAGCTGGTGCACGTGGCCCTTTGCGGAGTGAGAACGAACATCATAATGGGGATTGGGCTGCGGTCAGCGATGGCTTGGAACCATTTCACGATTCCCTCTTGCGTGACGGCACCGGCGAAGTAGCCGGGTGCGAGACAGAGACCCCATTGTGCGCCGGCCTTCTGGGCTTCTTGGAGCTGCTCTACCGTTCCCTCGATATCTTGCGTGGCTGTGCCAGCAATGATGGGGTAGTCCTTGAAGCCCGCCTCTTCGAGGGCCTTGCGCTGGGATGAGAGGACCTCAAAGCGCTCCTTGTTAGTGAGGTGGACTGCCTCGCCGGTGCTGCCGAGGATCACAAGCCCGCGGATGCCGCTTTTGGCGAGGTGGATGGAGTGCTTGGATTGCGTCTCGGCGTCGAAGGGAGCGGCCGCGGCATTGTAGTTTGCGGCGGCCTTGCCGACGAAGAAGGTTGGGACGGGGACGTAGACGCCGCCTGGTGGTGGGGAGGCCATTGTGGGAGTTTGGTGGTGGTGGTGGTGATGATCTGATAATTCACCCCGCACTTTCGTCTAGCGAGTCTGTTTCGTCGGTCAGTTTGAGCTGCTTAGAGACTCGGAGTACTCACCACTTCGGAAATAATAAGATGGAAGGAATAAAAATGCAGAGAGGAATCTTGGTCTACTTTGTTGAATATTAACAGAGTGGCGGATGCAAACAGTAATACAGTCCGAGGTCATCCACAAGTTCATACAATTACACGGCTTGGTCTCATAACCCCACCGTCTTCGGGGAAACATCCCCCGACAGTCATCTCCTCGGTATCCACCACACAGCGGAGCTGGGACACCTAAATCGCCTCAGCCTTGCGAACTAAACCCCACATAACTGAAGATGGAGCAGAGCCATCAACAACCCATTCAACAAAAGCTATTCATACAGTACTTCGAAATCAGATACCCATCAATAATCAATCGAAATCCAAAATATAATCAACTATGGCATTTACAGCCGACGAGACTGCCACCGTCACCCCCAAATACCCCATCATCGACTCCCACATCCACATCTACCCCGCATCTGAGGTGCACACACTCGCCTGGTTCGATCCCAACTTGCCCCTAGCCACAAACCAGCACTCCCTCGAAGAATACACCGCCGCCACCACCTCCCCCCCCGAACTCGAGGGGTTCATCTTCCTCGAGACCGACCGCGAGCATGACCTCGACTCCGGCGAGGCTGATGGCAGCGGCTGGGCCGGGCCCTTGATGGAGGTCGACTGGATCCGCCGCGTTACCGTTGGCGAGCCCAAGGAGGGCGAGGGCCACGACGAGAGCCATGCCAAATTGGTGCAGGGGTTTGTGCCATGGGCGCCTCTGCCGAGCGGGGCGGCGGTGGTGGAGCGGTATATAGAGAAGGCGCGGGAGGTGGCGGGGGAGGAGGCGGGGAAGAGGATCTCTGGGTTCCGGTATTTGGTGCAGAGTAAGCCAAAGGGGACGATGCTGGGGGAGGGCTTTATTGAGGGCTTGAAGCTGCTGGGGAGGGAGAAGCTGACGTTTGATTTGGGGGTTGATCAGCACAATGGGGGGGATTGGCAGTTGGAGGAGGCAGTGGAGATGATTCGATTGGCTCATGAGGGCGTTGATGATGCACAGAAAGTTAGGATTGTGATAAGTACGTATATCCCCTTCCCCCGATACCGCCTCTGCATGCGGATTTCCGTTTATGTGCTAACCGAGTAACAGACCACCTTTGCAAGCCCGACTTTTCCTTTTGCGCTCTCCCACCCGACGAACTCTATGAGAAACCTCGCTTCCGGAAGTGGCGGGAGGCCATATTCGAGCTATCCCAAGCCAAGAACACTTACATGAAGCTCAGCGGGTGCCTGTCCGAGCTGCCGGACTCCCTGAAAACCGAATCAGCAAACCACATCTTCGCCGCCATCTTGCCCTGGCTATCGGTCATCCTGGCGGCGTTCCGCGGGAGGCTGATGTTCGGAAGCGATTGGCCGGTCTGCACGGTGGGCGTTGGCGATGATGCGTGGAAGAAGTGGAGGGCGGTGGTGGCGGGAATGTGTGAGATGGGAGGCTTGGGCATGGAGGAGCAGATTATGCTTTGGAGCGGGACGGCGATCGTTGCTTATGGGCTTAACCCATCGATGTGAATTATCTGAGAGGAGGCGCTGCCAGCCTCCCGTAGACTGTAGCTAGTTGTGCACGCTTCTGCCAATAAATTTTGAAATTAGGGTAGGTCATCCTTGCGAGGCTCGCGGGGCTTGCGGGGCTTGCTGACCCCGCCGCCGGGGTTGATCTCCATAGTTGTGTAAGGTCGCAGGGAACTATCCCCTTCCTCTCCTAGCTTGTCGTTCGCCTCCTGCGCGGCAAGAACTTCACCCAGCGTTGGTCCAAAGGACCAGGGATAATACCTCGCCTCGGGTTGCTAAAGCCTGGTTGATTCTGTTCTGAGTCTCTTCATCTCCACCAGGCAGCCTCTTACCGAGCCGGCGGAGGTTTGATGCCGACATACGGGTTTGTAAACGCTGGCCATTCCATTATCAGTAGAAGTGTGGGTGTAAAAGACGAAGAGGATTGGTAAACGATGGGGAATATGTTGGTTATTTATGTCTTAGCACTCGGTGACTGTAGGCCAACCAACAATAAGCTTTCTAAATGAAGGGAGGTCTCATGGTTAGCGAATGACCTCCCTTCATTTCGAAAGCTTATTTACCCAAGAACAATTCTTATTTGCAGAAGATTAGATCACGTAAGCGTGCCTTATCGATTGAGGGGTCAGGCCAGAGCAGTGACGACATAACATTAGCAGCTGCGACACAAAAACAACACCAACGTTCTTATCTAAATACAAACCTTTGAAAATGATTAGCCTCGTTGCTTTTGATCTCGATGGAACGCTTGCCATCAGCAAGCAGCCATTGAAGGACTCCATGGGCGAGGCGCTGGCCGACCTCCTAGCCGTTGCCCACGTCTCCATCATCTCAGGGGGTGACTGGCCACAGTTCGAGAAGCAAATCGCGAGCCGCTTGCCAGCACGTGCTGATGTGACGAAACTATGGCTTATGCCGACCACTGGAACCAAGCTATACCAGAACAAGGGTGATGGGTGGAAGGTGGTATATGCTGAGCTGTTCACCGATGAGCAGAAGAAGGATATCCTCGAGGCATTTGACGCTTCGCTGGAGGCCACTGGATTCACACCAGAGAAGACCTGGGGTGAGCGAATCGAAGACCGTGGCAGCCAGATCACCTTCTCCGCGCTCGGCCAGGAAGCACCCATCTCCGCGAAGCAGCATTGGGACGCTGATTTCGCCAAGCGTAAGGTGATCCAGGTTGACTTGCAGAAGCGCCTGCCCGATCTATCAATCAACATGGGCGGCACAACCTCCATCGATATTACAAAGAAGGGTGTTGACAAAGGATACGGCCTGAGGAGACTGAGCGAGGCGACTGGGCTCCCGCTTGAACAGATGATGTTTATCGGTGATGCCATCTTCCCGGGTGGTAACGACTATCCTGCCAAGCAGATCGGGTTGCCCACTGTCGATGTCAAGGACCCGGAGGGCACTCTTTCGGCAATCGCTGCCATTGTCGCATGCCTCTCGTAATGCAAACGTTTTACAATATGCCTTTCAATTCAAGCATGGGTGCATTCACTGGATGTTCAATGACGGAGATAAAAAATCTCCAAGAATACTGGGGTACGGGCTTCAACTCCAGCAAGATCTAAATTCAATCAATATAGAATGGCTAGGAAAAGTGAAATGCGACGGGAATCACTCAAATTGGACCAGGCGATCCTACTTGGCTAATTTCTTCGTCACTACCATCTGAGTATATAGAACTCGCAACTGCCACAAATTCAGTCACTAATTTGAGAAAACGCCCCTTGATATTTCCCATTCACCAACTAATTATAAACTTAAACCCCCTTCTCAATTCCCAACACTAGCAGTCTTCGGTAAATCGCCCATTCTTTGTCACGGTCAACGCAGAGAACGTAGGCGCCTTGTTCGACGAGGAGGATGGCGGCTGCGCGACCGTTACCGATGCCGTCGCCTGCGGATCCGGCGCCGGTGACTATGGCTGCTTTGCCAGCGAAGGAGCCGCTGATTGGCCTTGATGCCACTTCGGGTTGTTGGCTTGTCATGATTGCTTGGTGTTTGTTAATTGTTAATGATGGGGAGAGTGTGGTGTGGGAACGGGACGCTACCTTGGTGGAACGTGGAGCATTTACCCCACATTGATAGCCGGCACGACTCTAAATTGGACACCTCGGGAACAAAGTTATCATATTTGTTCTGGATCGCTCGCAAAGATTGAGTGGATTTTATAATATACACACGATACACCACCCTCTCCCTATGCACCTTTAAGCCACCCACAATGTGATAACTCAATTCATCCCTCGACGTCAGAAAACCACTTGTGCGCCAGCGCCCCTCGAGTAGTGATCCTCATAGCAGGATCAAAACTCGTCATCCCCCCAACCAAATCCTTGAAGTCTTGATCGAATCCCGGCTTCTCACCCTTCCAGAGACGGAAAGGCTCGCGAGGGTTCTGGACGTTAAACCCGCTGCGGACGACGGTGAAAATCTCACACCAATGGCTTTCGGGGTCGAGATGGCTCAGTAGAGCATCAAACGTGCCAGGTTCCCAATAGGAGAGTTGCCGTTCTAAAATGATAGAAAGAGGTTCCATGTCAGGGTCTTCTAGCTCTTCGGTAGAGGGAGCGAAAATGACAGCGCGTAGGATGACGTATATACACTGAGAGGAAATATTAATATCAACACTGATAGTCTGGGAGAAGAGCGCGGGGGGTAGCTGTAGCAAACTTACCACTATCCCAAACGAAAATATGACAGAAGATAAATTTACAGGGCCTTGGGCATGAGCCTCAGGGCTGCGCCAGAGCTGGTTTCCAACTTGGGATCCCATGATGGCACTGCCCGGGGGCACATACGCCGCATCCTCCAAGTCGGCGAGCTGGACGCTCTTTATAACAATACCTTCAGAGCAACTGCCAGCAATCGAATGAGGGCCTACAGTACCAGCGGGTAGAAGACGATACCACAATTGTGACTCCTCTCTCACAAGACCGCCAACAAAAATGTCAGACCGTATCACAGGGAGAATGAGCATGATGAGGAAGACGCGGACGTGCGAACTAAGAAGCTAGATATATGGGTTGTAGGCGAAGAATCCTCGATGTTTTAAAAATATTGATGTTAAGCACATGCAGATGACATTTCGATAGAGAGAAGACAGCCTATGTTGAAGCTAATGCCTCAGATTTTATTTCCTCAGGGGTACTGTCACAGAAAGATGACAAGGGAATCCTACATCCAGTTGCATTCTTCTCGAAAAAGATGGCACCTGCAGAATGCAATTACGAAATCTATGACAAGGAGTTACTCGCCATCATCAGATGCTTCGAAGCATGGAGACCAGAAGTCGAGGGCACAGCAATGCCAGTCCAAGTTTTATCAGATCACAAGAGTCTTGAATACTTCATGACAACAAAGAAGCTTACTCGAAGGCAAGCTCGATGGGCTGAGTTTCTGTCAAGTTTAACTTTCAAATTATATATCGACCTGGGAAACAGAACGGAAAAGCAGATGCATTAACTCGAAGACCAGGAGATAGACCAGAAGGGAACGAAGAAGATGACTGCCAAAAACAACAACTTCAAACCCTGCTACCACTCAAGAGACTCCATCCAGACCTCCAAGAGATAAAGAAATTTGAAGATGCTAAGGTGAATCAAGACATCCAACTCGCGCCAGTCCACCTACAGGAAGCAAGTATTCTAGACAAAATCCAAACTGCACAACTTCAAGACAGCTTATGCAAAGACACTATTCAGAAGCTTCAGAATGGAGAACGAAACAGTCCAGACATAGCTCTAGCATATTGCGAGGTGAAGGAAGGGCTCTTATATTATCATAATAGAGTCTGGGTTCCAGAAAGTGCTCATGTCGAACTCTTACAAGAAATTCATGACCAACCAGCAATGGGACACCCTGGCATTGGGAAGATGATTCGGGTCATCAAAAGACAGTATTACTGGCCCCGGATGGATAAGACAATTATACAATACATCAAGAACTGCCATATCTGCAAAAGATCAAAACCTACAAGAGATGCTTATAATGGACTTCTTCAACCAATCCCTGTTGGCAGCCAGCCATGGCAGGAAATATCACTCGACTTTATTACAGGATTGCCATTGTGTGAAGGAAACAATGCTATCCTTGTCGTAGCATGCCGACTTACAAAAGAACGCCATTTTATCCCATGCTTTGCAGTCCAAGAAGGCACAACTGCAGAAGCAACAGCACAGCTACTCCTTCGACATGTATGGAAACACCATGGTTTACCAAATTCGATCATCTCAGACAGAGGCCCCCAGTTTGTGGCTGCAGTGTGGAAAATCCTCTGCAAAGTTTGGAAAGTTATAACAAAATTGTCTACTGCCTTCCATCCAGAAACGGATGGGCAAACTGAGAGGTTCAATGCAGAACTTGAACGATATTTACGAGCTCATGTTAACTATCTCCAAGACAACTGGGTCAAATATCTTTGCATGGCAGAATTTGCAGCAAATGCTCTACCTTCAGACTCTACAAAAATCAGCCCATTCTTTGCAAATAAGGGCTTCGAGCCAAGAATGAGTTTTGATATTAAGAACAGCAAGTTCCAAATAGCGCCACAGTAACACAAGGATATGATACAAAGCATGAAAGATATTTGGGAGTTTCTGCAAGACCAAATCGCACTCTCGCAAACTCACATGGAGACATTCGCAAATCAACGCAGGAAAGCTGCACCAAGATATCAGGTTGGAGATCAAGTATGGCTATCTACACGAAATATCAGGACTCAGAGGCCATCGAAGAAACTCGATCACAAGCAAGTTGGTCCGTATAAGATTCTCGAACAAATTGGGCAAGTGGCATATCGATTAGAGCTACCACCAAGCATGAAGATACATCCTGTCTTTCACAGCAACCTCTTACGACTTGACTCAGATGATGCTTTACAAGGCCAGCACCATGAACCACCCCTGCCAATCGTTATAGAAGATGAAGAAATCCTAGATTCTAAATTCCTACGGAAGAAGCTGTTCTATATGGCAGCATGGAAGAACCACCCACCAGACAACACTTGGTATCCTGCTACAAACTTCAACAATGCACCTGAACTCACACAAGCTTTCCCACTGAAAATACCCACAGAAGCCACAATGATCTTACTCTTGATCAGGAGATCAATCTTAGTAATGGGGGGGGGTAGTGTTACAATTATAGCTTACAGCTTGTTACAGTTGTTATGGTTGTTACGGTTGTTACGGTTGTTACAGTTGTTACAGTTGTTACAGTTGTTACAGTTGTTACGGTTGTTACGGTTGTTACGGTTGTTACGGTTGTTACGGTTGTTACAGTTGTTACAGTTGTTACAGTTGTTACAGTTGTTACAGGTGCACCTTAGCCACCAAGGCTACAACCAAGTGGACAACTGTATATTACAAGGAATAGCCTCACCTTCCTTCCTTCTTCTTCTTCTTCTCTCTTTAGATTTAATTTAGCTTATTATTCTCCGGACTGGCTTCTTGACCTCCGTGACCATCGTAACAGTAATAGTGTATCTCTATACTACAGCTTCGAAAATATCTTCATCTCTGTCAACTATCTCTTTATCTATAGGGTTGAGAGAATCTGCAATTGGCATGACATCTCCTAGTAGCCTTGCAATTTCCATTCCCAGTTCCTCGACCTTAGCAGTATTATCTTAACGCATATCCATATTTTCTGGTTTTTTTATAAGAGTCGATCGCCACCAACACTTCTGGATTTTTGGTGCTTTAAGTGCTTCCTACGTAAGTCGACTCCACTATATCGCCTTTAGAATATTAACTGTTTTATTAGGGTTCTTATTAGCCTCGAGCTGGCATAACATTACTTAATCCATTGTTTTCAATACCTAAGTTTGAAGCTTGCAATTATTCCCTAATCGAGAGGTTGCTAATTAGATGTCGTATTTGGTAGAAGCTAAGCAATTCGAACATTCAACAAACCTTGTAATCTACTAACAAGTTCAACTCCGACTTCATGTCTAGAGAAGTTATCAAGTAATAACAGTATCTTGCGATGCTTCATTTTCTCATTTAACCAGTCTAGGTATTCTTTCATAATTAGCCCTGTCGTCCATTTTGTCTCGTTGTATCGATATTGAAAGACTGGGGCTTCTGTGACAGTCTTTTTCAGAAGTGTGAATGCTTCCTGACATGCTTCTGTCCATTCGAAGACATGGTCTTTTTTCGTTAAGTTGACGAGTGGTTTCATGATGTTTGAATAGTTCTTGATAAACCTTCGATAGAACACACAGAATCCGATAAAAGCTTGCGTGTCCCGTAATGATTTTGGTGCTTTCCAATTGAGTATAGTGTTCACCTTTCCAGGATCCATGCGAATTCCATTAACTCCAATGATGAGTCCTAAGAATTTTGTCTCTTGAATGAAGAATTCGCATTTTGCTATATCTGCTTGTAGTCCTGCTTCTCGAAGCTTTTGTAGAACCATTTTGACATGCGTAACATGTTCCTCCTTACTTGTGCTATAGACAAGAAGATCGTCCATGTATGCAGTGACGAATTTGTTTATGTATTCCATTAATGTTTCATTCATATATCATTGGAATGTTGCTGGGCCATTCATACATCCAAATGGGAGAACTTTGTATTTGTATGATCCAAATCGAGTTTTGAATGCTGTCAGATCTTCATCCTCCTCTGTCTGCATGCGAATTTGATTAAAGGCATGTCTAATATCAATCTTTGTAAGATATTTGGCACCCGTGATTTGAGCCAATGTTTCATCAATGAGGGGAAGTGGGTATGAGTCTTTCCTTGTGATCACATTTAGTTTGCGATAGTCTATGCAAAATCGAAGTCCACCTCCTGGTTTGCGTACAAATAACACAGGTGAGGCAAATGGTGCTTTGCTAGCTTCGATGAATCCTTTGGTAAGATTGTCCTCCACGTATTTCTTCACAAGATCAAGCTCTTCTCAAGACATGTTATAGAGTGGTGCATGCCCTAGTTTCGAGTTCCCTTCTAACACAATGTGATGATCTGCATATCTGTGAGGCGGGAGCTTGTCTGCAGCCTGTTTTGAGAACACATCGAGATATTTATGGAACTCCTTTGGGAGGATCAGTTTTGGGTTAATTTCTTTCGTTTCCTCCTTTGCTTGTTCAGCGAGTATATCTTTAAATGATACTGCAAAAACCTTAGCTCCTTTCTGCTTCTGAAGCATATTGAATGGTGCAGCTCCAATCATTGTAACTTTGTTCTTATTCTTATAATGAGGTTGGAGGGCTGGCTTCGGAGCTTCTTTATCTTGTATTTCCTTCTCAGCTTGGGGACTTGTAGTTTTCACTTTTAAAGTGTCTGTTGGTGTAGTGTGCTGGCAGTGACCCTTTGTAAAGATGACTTGGTCGTTTACCATATTGAGTGTGACTCCATGCTGCTTCATCCAAGCTTTCCCAAGAATGATAGAATGTTTCCCAAGAGTAGTAATGAATAGAGGGCATAGACTTTCAACGTGATCTCCAATTTGTAGTCGAGGGTATATAGCATGCGTAACTGTAGGTGCTGCAACTCCATTAAATCCTTCAATGTTCTTTGGTTTTATAAGTTGGATAGGAGAGATGTTCTCAATTTCACAAATTCGTTTTGCGTCAACAGCATTCACAAAGCTTCCACCTGTTGCACCGCTATCCATTAAGGCTTGCATGACAATTTGATTCCTTCCTATTCTGCAGGTAGCTAAGAATGGAGTGTCATAGTCGAAATGGGATAATGATGAGGCAGAGGAGGCAATTCTTGCTGTAGAACCTCTAGCGACGTCTTTTCTAGAGGCTATTCTTTTCCCGACTCATACTGGGTAGGATCCTCAGTATCAGAGATCTCATTGAGTCTGCCTTTCTGTTTCTGAGGGCAGTCATGAGCACGATGGCCGCTTTCGTGGCAATGGAAGCATTTGCCAAGCTTCATGAGCGATTCTTTCTCAGGATCTTGGTGGGGAGAGCGGTAGAGCTTCTTCTGTGGTGCCACTATTTCAACAGCAGTACTAGCAGTAGGGCTCTGGCCACTCTGCTTCTGGTAGGCGAACAGCTGTGGCTTCATTCTCTTCTCCTTTTCTTGAATTCTCTGTAGGTTTTGGTCCACAAGCATGCATTTCTTCGCGAATTCATGTAGGGTGGTAGCTCCCACTTCTGCAACAAGGGCTTTCTGCATGCCTTGGTTGATTTTAAATCGGAGATCGTCAAGCAAGGTCTCTTCTGAGTAGTCAAGTGTTACGACGGAACAAGAAGGCTGGCCAACTACAGGACAGGAAGGAGGGAGGTCGCATGAGACCGGCCCTGGTACCTGGAGGGGCAGCGGGGAATAGTAGTTCCGAAAGTATCACGTGACGGACTCGCAGGATGATGAGAAGAGTCCTAAGAGTCCAGGACTCCGAGGACTCGAGTGAGTTCCCAGGAGTCCACTAGGCACGTGATGGACTCGCAGGATGATGAGAAGAGTCCTAAGAGTCCAGGACTCTGAGGACTCGAGTGAGTTCCCAAGAGTCCACTAGGCACGACGCCACTATATAAGTAGATAGTATTTCCTTAGATAGGAGCTTCGTGCTCAACTCAATACAGTATTTGTTATATACTAGTAACGTGTTACTTGAAGCCTTTGTGTCTGATCCCCTGCCTCCTCTGATAAGTAAACCTTTACGCAAGAGAACCTCTGTGTCTTCTATCGTTTAGAAGTCAGCGTTACATCAAGCTCTGCAGTGAGTCTCTGGAATTCAGCCCATAATGTTGTAAAGGTATTCTTGCCTTGGTATAACTTGTGATACTCAGTTTGTGCAGTGTGTCTCCTATCGGGGTCGCTAAACACTTTCTCAAGGAGTTGGAGGGTTTCTTCTGCTGACTGAAGCATGTTTGGTGAGGTAATGCGAAGCCTTGGGTTCACATGGCGAACTGCGAGTCCTCCTAGTCTGCTTTGGAGATAACTCATCTGCATCTTGTCATTTGGGAAGTGGTCGATGTTGGCTTCCAGCTTGAGTCGGATCTTCACAACCCAGTCTTCAAAAGCTGGTTCAATCCCATCCATAAGAATAGGAGGATCCGGGGCTCAGAGAGCAAAAGAAAGGTGAGATTCAATCTTATGTTACGATGGTCACGGAGGTCAAGAAGCCAGTCCGGAGAATAATAAGCTAGATAGAATCTAAAGAGAGAAGAAGAAGAAGAAGGAAGGAAGGTGAGGCTATTCCTTGTAATATACAGTTGTCCGCTTAGCAGTTGTAGCCTTGGTGGCTAAGGCTGCACCTGTAACAACCGTAACAACCGTAACAACCGTAACAACTGTAACAACTGTAACAACCGTAACAAGCTGTAAGCTATAATCATAACAATTATAGAGGAGGATGGGATTGCAGACAGGGACGAGGAAGGGGAAGGGGAAGGGGAAGAGATACGACCATCACTTGCGGAAGCAAGCTAGGCGCTGAATACCCTTCAATTATTTGCTTCCCTCACTAAAGATGGAGGTTGGATTTTAGTAATAAAGGCATTAGAACAGATTAGTAAGGATATCTTGCAAGAGAAAGTCGTGAAGAGTACCTAACGTTTACTAGATGGCTGGGTGTCAAAGTAGCATACAAAAAAAAATTACATATATTCCTTAGATTTCTGTGAACCTCCACATAAGGATATCCTCACTATAAGGATGCCACGCCTAGTGCTTAGAACTTGTTTTGCTTAATGACAGATAATGATATTAAACACTAGCACACCTACTAGACAAGCTAAACAGTAGTGTATGGGGTGTTGAACTGTGTACACGTATTTGCGCCTCATAGCTGCTACCCTCATAGCTGCTACGTAGCCATTAAGATGCCTCCTCCTGATTCATTTGACTCTTCGCCCTGCCAAGTTTGTGTCAAATGTAGTTGCTAGCGGCCCGATTCTGACTTCTGTCCTCGCCTTTAGGGCGGCCGTTATACTACTTGCACCACCTGTTCAGTTTGTTCATAGTACCCCTTTCTTATATGTAGCAGTCTATAACGTTCGCTAGGAGTTGGCCACAGCTGCTCACGTCTCTCACAATGCATTACAGGCCCTTAGGGGATCCGCATTAAATGCTCCTTGACTCACTCGATCTATTTCAGGACGGCCTGCCCCTAATGTCCTCATAAACCCATGGCCTGCTCGACAGGTCCGGTCTGCCATAGATTTACAGGAGGTTGTTACAGTTCACCAACCTAAACCTTGATTCTACAATACTACAGCATCTACATGTTGAGTTAATGGAGTATAATCTGCTAATTTAGCGATATGCAACGGCCTGCGAGCATCTATAGCAGCAAGAGCAACATCCTAGTCCATTTACCTTACTTTGGAATCCAGCTGCACAGTTGGTTCTTAAGTCAGGTGCTAATAGGCAGCGTAAGAACCTCCCTACTACAGAGGAGATAGGGGTGTTGATTCCTAATAACTAGAATGAGAAGAGCTGCTAAGATATTGTTCTAGCAGTCTGTGGAGTTAATAGACAGATGAGCTCACACATGTCCGTTATTAGCCTAACGCTCCTGTTGGTACTAGAGTCGATTTCAGCTGTTGCAGTACTACTCGCCTCTTTCTTGGCCTTCCCACCCCCAAATACGGAGAAGCGCATGCTGTAACTTGAAGGGTACAAACTTTTTTACTGGACTGCCACGAACATGATGTAACGGGTGCCGCCGTTACAGTACATGTGGTATATAAAGCGTGTTACGCGTATTCCGGGCGAGCCGGAATACTGTAGTCTTTTTGGCTCAGTGGGATGTAGCGCGAGCGTAACCGTACATCATTACACATGACCCCTGTAGACTATTTGTTCCAAAACAACCTCACTGTCCCCTTTTCGTGAAAGAGGCGTTGACCTTAGCTGAAAAGCTTTTTTTTTGTTTCCGAACTCCTCGGAGCATTCTCCGAACTTTTTGTTTCCTTCTTTCCAATGTAGCCGAGAGGCAAATATCCCTCGTTAAGTTATCACTTTCCTCTACTTTCACTACGGTCCATAACACCTCGGTCGCCAGATCGCCATGGTGGGATAATATATTTCGGAATGCCTTCTCCTTCAGTAGCACAGGGGCATTTTTTACGATGATCTTCATAATACCGTTGCGGATTGGCCTGCGGTAAAGTTCGCAGATTTGAGAACCATAAACAGTTTTATGCTTTTCGCAAGGCTTGGTGTTTTCCACAGCCTCGCTGCAATCTCTTCAAATTTCTTTGCTGCATGCTCCATGAGGGCATTCAAGTGGTGATGGTCAGCAATAACGAAGCTCGATATTCACACGCAGCGCGTCTCTATTCCAAAGTGGCCGGCCAGGTTCTTACGGGGGGATCAAGTATGTCAGAAATCTCACCTTTCCATGACTCAGTTTCGATCTTTGTTCTGTGTGGAAGGTTGGTAGCCGCGTGGTTCTGTTCACGCTCGTCGTCATAGTCGCCTTGGTAGATGAAGCGCAACATTTTCTCCACGATCTTGGGCTGGTACTTATTGAGGTCAATCACGCCGGGGAAAGCCACCTTCTGTTTCAAGTAGATCACCTTCTATGAGATAGAACGCTTGCCTCAGAACACTTATCAACCATTTTTTCGAGGGTATATGGCGCTGTGGAAATCACAGTGCGGTGAACGTCCGCAGGTCTCTGTATTTCCCGCAATCGAGAAGGCTAAAAAATAGAATGTTAATAAATAACGCGACGTAGTAGAGTAAGGAACATATTACCTGTCCATCGTCGTGGTAGTTGATGCGAGTAGTATATTCAAGTAATGAATATTGGTTGGAGTGACGACAAACGAGGAAAGGGGAAACAAAGAAATAAGGGGGGTGTATAAAGTAATACGGAGAATAATGTAGTGTTGAGTATGATTCTGACGTGAATTTATCTCCAAGTCTTGTCCTGGACCTTTTGCAAACTTCTGCAAGGACTTCTGCATCCAGATTCCTTCCGAGACTATAGTAAATCTCGTAGTTATATAGACTCCGTTTACTCGAAGGGCGCACACAGGTTGGGAGATAGAAGGATGAAACCTAGCGGAAAAGAGTCGTTCATAATTCACTGGAAACATATTCTGCCCGTCGTTTATCCCCCACCTTGCCGAGGACCATCATAAATCCACCCCTCCATTGCAACTGCCTTCTTCAACACCTCTGCTACCAACCCTGATGCTCAGTCAACAAGCGCCATGACCAACCACTCCTTCTCACCCAGAGCCCGTACATGTCTGACGGCTATCGCATCTCCCAAACTCCCAATTCTCTTCGTTCAATCCCATGATACCATCAAGATCAGTCAAAAGAGTCTCGACCTACATTCACCTTCTGCCCGAAGTGATTTTACTAGTGTCTCGAACTTGAAAGCCGTCGACGCAGTTATGGACATGTGAGTGGCCTTCACTAGACAACTTCACTGTCCCTATACCAATTCTTTAATCCAGCCTCCTCGATTCAGGAAAGTACAGCGACATGCGCATTACATGCGAGGAACAAACATGGAATGTGCATCGCTCAGTGGTCTGCGCTCATTCGCCTGTATTTGCAGCCATGATTGATGGGGGGTTCAAGGTATGATAGATCCCACCTCTCTGTCAACTACAAAAAAAATCAGGCAAGCTCAGAAGCTAACGAATACAGGAAGCTCACAGCGGCGTCATTGACCTCCCAGCCGACAAAGCAGACATCGTGGAGATGATGCTCCGCTTCCTCTACCAAGGCGACTACGACGACCTGCGTTGTTCTACCGCACCAGGCGAGGATCTGGTAGAGCTTAACGCGGATGCAATGGTTGTGAATGTAGAAGTGTATGTCATAGCTGACAAGAACGGCATCCCCGCCCTAAAGGTTCTTGCCCGGCAAAAGTATGCAGAGCTTGTGGCAGAGATATGGCAGGCAGAGTCTTTCATGGATAGTGTGGAGATGGTGTTCCAGGAAACGCTGCCTGGTGATTCCCTGAGGAAGTTCGTTATCGAGACGGTGGTGTTGCACATACATACTCTAATCAGGGAGGAGTGGTTCGTGGCGATGCTGGAAGACCAAGGGGATTTCGCAGTGGAAGTATTGAAGGGAATACTAGAGCTGGGCCGAAGTATTTGGGCTGCATCTTCTAGGGGGGCAGTTAGCAAACCCCATAAGAAACTCAACAACTAGCATCGGGAAACCAGGCAAGGTTCAGATCTGATGAGTCGTGTTTGAAGTTCAAACAGGGAAAGGAAAAGTTGTGAGTGTAAGGATAGATTCATATGAAAAGGGAAGCTCGAGCAAAAAGTGAAAAGTAGATCATTAATCGAGTATCGCCTTGGGGCGCGTAGACGCCTCTTTTCGCTTTGTAGTTGGCATTAATAAATTACAAAACTAATAACGCAAATCCTGTCCGTAACTTAGCTCAAGCAGATTTTCCAAACAACCACTGAATAGCTTCCAGTGATTGTTGTGGTTATGCCCATCAGAGGTTCATGGGTTGGAGCTGACTGGGATGTGTTCGAGTTGAAATTATTGGAGTCGAGTCACGTGCATTCCCCGTCATTGGTCAACCCCACATCTACGTTCAAGGCTCGGTCCCCCATGACTTGCGAGGATGGATGCAGGATCAAATTGTCCCTCGGCTCCCAAGCCCCAGACTAGAACCGCGACTCGCTGACGCCGTGGTCGAGAGACGTTTACCCCAATAATTCCTTGAACCATTGTACAACTCATTGCGACTCCAGCGTTCAGTTACTCGAAGCATATTCTGTATATAATTCGTCATATATTTTGGCTCCTTCAGTCTCGGAGCCACACAGTTACCTCGGGCACATGCTGAAGAGTCGGAGATGAAACTGTGAACTTAACGCGCAAACTACAACACTTCATATCCCTTGCTTATACAGCGCCGGCAACCCTCCAGAATGACGGCTATTATCCAGCATACCCCGATAGCGAACAGGCGCAAGCGCAAGAGAAGACGTCGTCAGGACAAGTCTGCGGTGTTCGCTAGACTGGTGCTGGATGACCATGTCCGAGGCGATGTGGGGATTGTGTCCGAAGACCTCTATAACGAGCTCTTTCCCTCCCAAGACCAGCGTAAGTGGCTGCATCGGTTACGAGTTATTCAGTCGGCTAACAGTGGAATCAAGAAGACGAAACAAACGGCGATGGACCCGTCGGCATACCCGACCTTGCACACATTGCGATATCCCCGAAAGCCCCCTTCACATCCGTGGACGAAATTAGCTGGACAGTCGTGCCCGTGAGGCCATCAAGCGCCCTCGCCACCAATACCATACAATTCGCGCCCAGCTCTGTCGCCCTACAAGGCTTTGCCGAAGAGCTCCAACGCACGACTCCGTCGAAACTGCTCAGTCACAGCCGCAGCGGGATCGAAATCTGGGCACTTGACGTGTTACCCCTGACATTGGACACTGTGTTCGTCACTCTCGAAGCTAGCCTAGCCAAACGACTTGAAAATGGCGAGGGGACGTTCCATAAAGAGCACCCGCTTGCCAACGGCAATCACGCAAATGGAAAGAGCGCTGTGCCGGAAGACCGACTCAGCTCGGCAATTCGAGAGGCACTGTCCTCATTGAAGGTTGTGCACGCAGGTGACTTTTTCCCGCTTCCCCTGGCGCCGCATTCTATCACGCATGTTTTGCCCCCACCAGCAAAGGTGACTCTGTGTGAGCCAGTCGCACAGGGCATCTTGTCGCCAAATACGCGAATCATTGTCACGCAGACGGGGCACCACACGAGGACTGTCAGGAAGGCGTCTAATATGTCCCTGAGGCGCGTTCTAGACCAGGTCACTGAGGTAGATGAGGATACCTCGAATGAGCAGTTCTTTTCGGCCGCCGAAGACCGCTACAAAACCGATGCAGCTCCTGAAGATGATTCGATGACAGAGACCGAGGCCGAAGATCAAGACCTTGACGATACGGACAATCTGTCTGACGATTCTATGGATGAGATGATTTCTTTACAAGCTCCAATGCTACCGTCCTCGAACAGTGGCATGGCTACGCCTCTCGGCCCTGGCCGTAGAACCAATGGCATTGCAACTCCCGGGTCGGTATTTTCAAATTACACCGCGACAACAGCGCGAGTTGGTGGCCAGCGGGGAAGACTCTTCAAAGCGCAAGGTCTAATGAGCCCTCTCCCTGAAGAGCTGCTCCGCCCTACTCCTCCAGCCGACGATGACGATGAAGCACGCATCTACGTTGACGTAAACTCGCTCACCAAGATCGGCTGCTTCTCAGGCGACTGGGTACGCCTAGAGACTGCCTCTGAGCCGCCTGAGCAAGGCATTGGTCTATGGACACTGGGTAGCTTTGGGCAGGCGCAGGATGAGGACTTCATCTGGCGACCGGTCAAGGTTTACAGTTTGCCAGAGGGATACTGGCACAGGGCCGTCACCAAGATACCATCTAGCAGAGGGTCGAAGAGGATGTCATTCTTCGACTCGCAGGTGTCGAAACCCACGAGCCCGACAGTCTATCTTTCACCAATATTGTTGGCCAATCTAGATAGCACGCCATATGTGCGCTTGTCGACCCTGAAGCAGACCCAGACGTTAGGGAAGGCCTCATTACCGAAGATTACCAACACTTCGCTGCCACCCGTTGCCCGCGAGGTGACCTTCGCAAAGATCGCTACACCTTTGGCTACTGAGAAGACTCTACAAACTGCAGCTATTAGCGGCCTCAAGCGACACTTTACTCAGAGAGCGAGGGTTGTCAAGGCTGGAGATATCGTCGGAATTCCGATCGATGAGGCGCTGGGAAGGACATTATTCCAGACTTCATCGGGCAAAGAGGACGCGATAACAGACGACATGCTAGCCAATCCTGATCAGCAGGGGACCGGTTTGACGAAATCTACTGGGGTTATTTGGTTCAAGGTTAGCCATATCACGCACGCACGACGTGAAGAGGTTGAGGACCCTGAGGACGATATCTGGGGCGGCGTAGCAGCTATTGATTTCTCCCAGACGCAAATGGCTGCAGCTGGGACGGAAAAGAGCCGCTTGCCACCGACGAAGGATAGCCCTTGGGAGCACTACTTCAAGCTGCGAGCGGTCTCTAAATCTAGCTCTGATGCTTTGGCCCCGGCTATGCCAGAGCCTCAGCCTCAGCACATCACTCCTCTCCGTCGCCAGCTGCGAGAACTGGTCGCTGCTGCGACAAGCGCGAGGTCAATCCACCTGAAGCTGCCGCCACTGGCTATCCTGCTTGTGTCTACCCAGAGGAACATTGGCAAAGCAACGCTCGCTAGCAGAGCCTGTTCCGACATCGGCCTTCACAGCTTCACCATCGACGCGTATGACATTGTCAGCGAAGGTGGAGCGGGAGGTGACGTTAAGACAGAAGGGTTCCTCAAGGCGCGTGCTGATCGCGCCCTGACCTGCGGCGCGGAGAACACGGCGCTCGTAGTCCGCCACATCGAGGCCCTGGCGGCCGAGCGGATGATCGCGGCTCTGAAGGACGTCCTCGCCGACTCCCGCGTCATCATCGCGACAACAACGGATGTGGACAAGGTACCTGATGGAATCCGCAGCCTGTTCACTCACGAGCTCGACATGCACGCACCCGATGAGGGCGAGCGTGAGAGCATCCTCCGCAGCATCGTCGATGACCGCGGCGTCTCCCTCTCAACTGACGTAGAGCTCGGCGGCGTAGCCGTCAAAACCGCCGCCCTCGTCGCTGGTGATCTAGTTGACGTCGTGGACCGTGCCCTGGTGGCACGCCACACTCGCCTCGAAAGCCTCGCTACCTCGGCCGCCTCGGCCGCCCTCCCCGTCTCCGTGCGCGACGTGCAGCTCTCCGGTGGCCCATCGCGCAGCCTCACCAGCGCCGATTTCAACCACGCTGTCGAGCACGCGCGCCAGAACTTTGCTGACGCCATTGGTGCGCCTAAGATACCGAACGTCACGTGGGACGATGTCGGTGGTCTCGCGCACGTCAAGGATGCTGTCATGGAGACTATCCAGCTGCCCCTTGAGCGCCCTGAGCTGTTTGCTAAGGGTATGAAGAAGCGCTCTGGTATCCTGTTCTACGGTCCACCTGGTACGGGTAAGACGCTGTTGGCCAAGGCCATCGCAACTGAGTTCGCGCTCAATTTCTTCTCCGTCAAGGGCCCCGAGCTGCTCAACATGTACATCGGAGAGTCTGAGGCGAACGTGCGCCGTGTGTTCCAGCGGGCGCGCGACGCGAGGCCCTGCGTCGTCTTCTTCGACGAGCTTGACTCTGTCGCGCCGAAGCGTGGTAACCAGGGTGACAGTGGGGGTGTCATGGACCGCATCGTGTCTCAGCTGTTGGCGGAGCTGGATGGTATGAGCGACGGCGATGATGGCGGCGGCGGCGTGTTCGTCATCGGCGCGACGAATCGCCCGGATCTTCTGGATGCAGCGCTGCTCCGTCCAGGTCGCTTCGATAAGATGCTCTATCTTGGTGTGAGCGATACACACGACAAGCAGGCGACGATCATGGAGGCGTTGACCAGGAAGTACGTATCCCCTCTTTTATTCCCTTTGTCCGTCTCGACCAGACGATACTAACACTACCCCAGATTCACCATGTCCCCCACCCTCTCGCTCCCACGCATCGCCACCCATCTCCCCTTCACCTACACCGGAGCCGACTTCTACGCCCTCTGCTCCGACGCCATGCTCAAAGCCGTAACACGCCAAGCCTCCGCCGTAGACGCACAAGTCAAAACCATCAACTCCCAGCGCGCCCCCGACGACACAGTCACGACGGCGTATTTCTTCGACCACTACGCAAAGCCCGCAGATGTGGCTGTGGTGGTTACGGAAGAGGATTTCATGGCTGCGCAGCAGGAGCTGGTGCCTAGTGTTAGTGCGAAGGAGTTGGAGCATTACACGAAGGTGCGGGCGCAGTTTGAGGCTGTTCCGGAGGGGAGCGGGGGCTCGGGGGGTGTAGATGGGAAGAGGGCTAATGGGGTGGTGGAGAAGAAGTTGGTGAATGGGCGGCCGAGGAGTAGTGGGAAGGGGAAGGGGAAGGGGAAGGCGAGGATGGAGGATGAGGATGAGGGAGTGGCTGTTGGTGGGTTTGGGAGGGCGGAGGATGATGAGGATTTGTATTAGGGGAGGGTGGTGGTGTGTTATGATGCGCGTATATATGGGTTGCATGTAGGGATGTATTTATAGTAATCTTATCGGAGGTCTCGTCCCTATCTACTTGTATGGAATCCAACGCCGTACATGCTCCCCAACCGTGATAGTTGCGCGAGTTGGCCAAGTACACTGCCTAGCCACCCGCCTTCCAGCCGGAGACGAGCGCTCACTCAAATGTCTACAGTATAGCGCGGAGGCTCCTAGGGGGCCGTTTGTGTATAGTAAATGTGTTGCTCATTGGGATAGCGACAACCATGTGTCGCCAAACTAGTAATATGGTACTAACTGAGAGAGTCCCACTCATCGATATCAATCGCTCCGCTCCCGCGTGCATCCCAGATAGACCACCTGGGTATAATATTTATATATACATCGTGCCCAAGGGACGCCATCCAGGCACATCCCCCTTCCCAGAAGAGAAGACCCAGCCTCATTCCCCCTCCTTCCACAGGCACCCCAAACACCGCACCTCCCCCTCCTCTCCCCTCTCAACACAACATCGACTGCAAACGACCTCGTAATGTGACGTGCCACCTCCCCATTCCCGTTCCCCCCTCCCATCTTCATTTTTCTCCCCACCACTCTCCTCCATCTCATCACCCCTACCCTCCTTTCCACTCCCACCACACCGCCTAACACAAACACAGCACACCCTCCCCCCACACCCATCACACGCCCCAAACCCGCCCCCAAGTAAGTCCCCCTTCACCCGCGGCCGGCGCGCACATACCACACAGGGCGATAAGTCCAGTTTCACCTCTATCGCCACCTGGTTCCCCCCCACCCATCCACTCTTCCCATCTCCCATCCCGTCCTCCGACAATATATCACGTTGTTGGTCCCATAATCCCCACCCCTCATCCCCCTCGCGCCGTCGCCAGCTCCCCCCGTCGCAGCGGACTCGTTTGACGCTCCCGGCTCGTAGTAGGCGGGGTTTGAGTATACTCCTCCCCTCCCCTGTTGTGATGTGTGGAGAACCTGCGTCGTCGCGCTTGCGTTTCATTGCGTGTGGTGGTGGAGGAAATGTGAGACGTGTCGGCATCGTCGCGGTGGTTTGTGCGGGTGGGAGGTTTCGAGGTGGGTCGTGTGGTCCTGGTCGTGAGCGTGTAGTTCTCTTCTTCCGTTTCAGTATAAGAGTATGTGTGTCGATGTATGTGTGTTCGATCTGTATCCCTCGTTGCGCCCCTTGCTTGCTGTTCACTGTGTTGCGCAGGCACCAGGTGTTCCGTCTTCGTCTCGAGGTTGGCGTCGAGCAAACCGCTCTACCCCCTTTCAAGCCGATTCTACAACGTTGTAGAAGCACAGCCAAAGCCAAGTTGAAGACAAGTTCGTGTCTCCCTGGCTTGTCGCTCGAGGCGTGTTGTGGCGACAGGAGGCCCGGGAAACGGCAAACAATTGACAGCTTGGTCGAGATGGAAATGGGATGGGCGCCGTTTGTTTTAGTCCGACGACGACCCTGGCGGTTGGACCCGGCGCAAGGGGGCGTGGGAGGTTCGTGCGTATCGATAACGCGCGCGAAAAATCACATTAATCTAACTTAAGTTAGTTATGGTTAATTAACATTCTTAATTCCCCTTACTTGTTCGTCCCTAATTCTTTTTACTATCCGCATCAGACTTCCTATACGCCCATCTCGATATTTACCTTGCGAAAGTGCATACATCTAAAATGTCTATCAAGGAAACATTTGCCAGTCCAACCGGCGAATTGTTTGCGCACCATTTTTCCATGTTCAGGCGAGGCGTGATGAGGATACGCAGACCATGTGGTGGTTCAAACGACTCCATGTGTAGATATGAAGACTCTGGCCTGGCAGATACGCTGAAGGATCGTGGTTATACACCTTGGAGCGCACAGAGATCCCCCAAGGATCTGGCAAGTTGTGGTATTCCCCGAGTTAAGTCTGTATGAACAGCGACATGAGAGGGCGTTTTTATGAGAGAAAGTTTAGACAGCGGCGCCTTCGAGCACGAGGTGACGCGGGGGGTATAGCCATTTCATCATCTACTCAGTATCCGCCTGTCGGCTCGGCCGTTGTGGGCATGACGCTGAACTGCGGGACGCTGTACTGCGGGACGCTGAACTGCGGGACGCTGAACTGCGGGACGTGGCGAGTGGCTGGTTCAGGGACACGTGCTCGGGACGGAGATGGCGAAATGCAACTGGCAAAGCTAGTGGAAGGACATGCATATTGCACGTTGCTGTTTGTGGGTTGGGATGGAATCTAGGGAGGGGGCGGTACTGGAGATGCGTTAGTATGATGACATGAGATCTAGGATCCAACACAACACAACACACAACACGTGGGTGCTTCGCTGTGGCTTAGGTAGACTTGTGAGCCTCGCTCTTTCTCTGCTATAGACTCTGCTATAGACTCTGCCATAAACTTGTGAGCCTCGCCCCTTCTCCGCTATCGACTCTGCTATATATAGACTCTGCCATAAACGTGTGAGCCTCGCTCTTTCTCTGGTATAGATGGACTCTGCCATAAACTTGTGAGCCTCGCCTCTTCCTCTTTCTCCCTATGACAAATGTAAATTCATATTTGAGGCAGACTAAGAGCCGCCGGAGGACTTGCATGAATGTGCCGTCCTATTATTGGCTTCAGCATCGGAAAGGGCGATGAACCTCACATCACAATAAACCCACTTCTTCCTTCTAGAAGACAATCTATCGTTTCTTTTATTTCCTTTTGTTCTTTGTTAGTAAATGTATGGAGTACGCTCTAAGATGGGAGGTGGGGGGACCACCATGCCATTTCACTCCGACTCCGACGACCTCGTGCCTACTTAAGGGACCTGGGGTGGATTAGAGGACACTAGAGGATACTTAGAGTTCTCTAGGGGGCTCTAGAGGACTCTAGGGGGCTCTAGAGGACTTAGGGGGCTCTAGAGGACTTAGGGGCTCTAGAGGACTTAGGGGACTCTAGAGGACACTAATGGGGACTAGTGTCAATTAAGATAACAAGGGGTTCTGTCCCTCCATGCTTCAGTTGGGTCTTATTGCCCTTTTACTGTCATCCCATTGGTTGTCCACTTTTTATGCCAAGATCCCTGCCAAGCTCCCGTCCCCATTTATTACCTCCTTGGTATAAGTTGCCTAGACTTTCTCTTGCCAGCCTTAATTCTTAGGTCTGCCCATATCCCGTGTATCAAATCCCACGTGGGTTGATACTGTATTCTGGCTCGTCCAGAATCACAACGAGCTGGGTGATTTTGTTTCCTTATTCCACGACATTGGTTATTCTTCCGTCCAGCCTTTCTTCGCCAAAGGTTAGTCGCCACGATTAACACGCGCCTGCGCGCCCACCATGAGTATATATATGTCATGTTCGCCATTAAATGCATTGACAAGATCAACCCATTCTAAGCCGACCAACCAACAGCTAAGCCGCCAACATGGTGATGCACGAGTATACCTACGTTTTTGCCTTTGGCACAATGTTTGCGCTTCTTGAAGCGTTCAACAATGGTGCAAGTACGTTCTCCCCGGCCACCACCTATCTCGTTGCTGTTGCTGTTGCTGTTGCTGTTGCTGTTGCTGTTGCTGTTGCTGTTGCTGTTGCTGTTGCTGTTGCTGTTGCTGTTGCTGTTGCTGTTGCTGTTGCTGTTGCTGTTGCTGTTGCTGTTGCTGTTGCTGTTGCTGTTGCTGTTGCTGTTGCTGTTGCTGTTGTTCATGACCTGACCCTCCAATAGACGATGTCGCCAACGCTTGGGCTACATCCGTGTCCTCCCGCTCCGTCACATATCGCCAGGCCATGTTCTTGTGCTTGTGCTTCGAGATTACTGGTGCCATGGCTGTCGGTGCTCGCACTGCCGCCACGATTAAGAACGGAATGTTAGTTGAAACTATAGCAAATAGCCAAGAGAACGTCAGCTGACACCAACAGTATCCCCATCGCAGCATTCCACGGCAACGCTGGTGTTCAACTGTTGGCTTTCGCCTGCGCTTCCGCTGGTGCCGCCATCTGGGTTATGTGGTGTACTCGCCACTCTGCCCACGTTTCCTCGACATACTCTCTGGTCTCTTCCATCGCTGGTGTTGGTGTTGCCGCTGTAGGTGCCAAAAACGTCCAGTGGGGGTGGAGTGCCGGATCCGGTCTTGGTGCCATCTTTGCTGGTCTCTGCATGGCCCCAATCGCATCTGGAATCTTTGCTTCCATCATCTTCATGCTCATTAAGACGGTTCGTGACCCCGAATAACTCGCGCCTTGCGCAATTTGCTAACATCGTTAAGGTTGTTCACTCCCGCAAGGACCCCCTCAAGTGGGCCGTGTTCACCTCGCCCTTCTTCTTCCTGATCGCTGGTACCATTTGCACGCTCTCCGTCGTCTACAAGGGATCCCCCAACCTTGGTCTCGACAAGAAGCCCGCCTGGTACATCGCCAGCGTCACCCTCGGTGTTGGTTTCGGTCTGTTCATCCTCGCCGGCCTCTTCTTCGTCCCATACGTCCACTGTAAGGTCATCAAGAAGGATTACACCCTCAAGCTCATCGATATCTGGCAAGGACCTGCCCTGTTCCACCGCGTGCCCCCGGCAGATGCCACTCAGGCTCGCGTTCCCAACTACGCCGTCGTCCAGCACGACGAGGATGAGCAGGACAACGGAGATATTACGGCCCCAGGCCAAGAGGCCACCAAGGACCTTCACGTTATTGAGACCACCCCTCCTGGCAGCGAGAGAGACGTCGCCAACGAGAAGAGCGCACCCGCCCCTAAGTCCCTCGCCGAGCTCGAAGACGAGTCTGCCGGCATCAACGCTCAAGCCCACTACCGCCTACTTCTCGCCCGCGCTGAGGCCAAGCACCACGCCGAGCTCCGCACCAATAGGGGACCTATCGGATGGGCCATGCGCACTCTCCACAACCACCCCATGGGTAGCGGTGAGATGTACGAGCGCCACAACATGTGGGCCTTCCTTGTCCGCCTCCCTGCCCATCTCGTCTGCGCCCTCCTCTACGGTGTTTACTACGACATCCACCGCTCCCAAGTCGGTATCCTCGGCACCCCTGAGGGCCGCCGCATGGCCATCGTCTACTCCCACGCCACCAAGTACGAGAACGAGGTCGAGTACCTCTACTCCTTCGTCCAGATCATCACCGCCTGTACCGCGTCTTTCGCTCACGGCGCCAACGATGTCGGTAACGCCGTCGGTGTCTGGGCTGGTATGTACGGCGCGTGGCAGTCTGGCCAGACCGTCAAGTCTAAGGAGGACGTCCCCCAGTGGCAGATCGCCGTCATGGCGCTCATGATCTGTATCGGATTCATCACCTACGGTTACAACATCATGAAGGTCATGGGTAACAAGCTCACCTACCACTCTCCCTCGCGTGGTTCGTCCATGGAGATGGGCGCCGCCATCACCACCCTCATCTTCTCCCAGTACAAGCTCCCCGTCTCGACATCCATGTGCATCACCGGTGCCACCGTCGGTGTCGGTCTCTGCAACGGTACCTTCAAGGCTGTCAACTGGCAGCGTGTTGGTCTCCTGTTCTTCTCTTGGGTCATGACTATCCCCATCGCGGGTCTGATTGGTGGTGGTCTGATGGCCCTCGCCCTGAACGCGCCGAGCTACCATTGAAATGCGCCTGGTCTTTAATTGAGACGGGATTTCGATGGGGTCGGGTGTTAGGGGGGGGGGTCGCGATGATGTCGGTCACAATTTGCACTCCTTGGAACTTTATTTTTACAGTCATAATTGCACTTTATTATTAGCACACAATTGCAGTGCCATTTCCACTATACCTTGCCCCATACTTCTGATTGTAGTGATGAATGCGATGAAAATGTAGACTGTAGAGGACGCTGAGCCGGCGGTTGACAGGGTCGCTGTTAGGGAAGAAGCCCCGGCTCCATTTTCAGATAGCATCCATACCACGCTTCAAAGGGACCTAAAGCTTGTCGCGTTGCTGATCAAACAGTCCCTGGTCAAACATCGACCCCCGAATCGCGGGACAATTTCCCTTATAATTCGAGAAGCCTTCACATTATCAGCTATCAGCGCACCCACGTGCTGTCCGTCACCGCCTTCTTCTCCCGTCACTGGTCTCTACTGGTATCATCGCTCTCTCTCGCTGCGATCGCACCTCAATCGAGGACTAAACCCAAATGACAGCTCGTACCAGAGCCCACACCATAGCCTCAAGGTATAGATCAGGTGTAGTAAGGTGTATTTTAATTCTCGGCGACATTATAGAATGTCGCCGTTAGTATCAATATCCCCAAGTTGTAAGATGCCTCCTAAACTGTGTAATATCAATATCCCCCAAGATACGAGATGTTGAACGAGGTGGTATCGCTACAGACTGGAGCTACTACGTTTGAAGATGGCTAGTTTGTGTCTAGTGAGAGGGCATGTCATGTACGAAGATCTTAAAAGTTTTATAAGTAGAAAACAGGCTTAATGGCCATTCACATATCCCCTCCCCCTCCGTCCCAACTACAAAAAATATAAAATAACAGAAAGGCAAGAAATAGAAAAAACGTAAAATGTCATGGTCCTGCCTATCCTGTATTGTCCCGTCACGTCCTATCTGCCACATGTTGCCTGTACAGTCAACTCCCGTTAAGTCGATACAATTGGTGACACGTGTAAATATCGTAAAAGTGAAAATATCGTTATATTGAAATGCCAAGTATTATGTAATCCACCTATCTAATGTCTCCTAAACCAAGGAATTAAGCTGAATTGCCTCAATTTCGCCCTCTAAATGCTTCTAATGCCCTGAGGTGATTGGCTTGGAGAGCATCGTGACACAAAGCCACCGCGGCTATCAATTCGTCGCTAAAAGTCGTAGAGAATTTGTTCAAGTTGAGGCCATTGGCCAGTTCGATTTCGTTGTCTAGTTGTTGTCGAGTTGTCAAGACGTTTAAAGCGGTTACTAAGGCTATCTGATATTGTCGATTGACTGAGCCTATGATTGAATTCGTGAAGAAACCAGTTGATGCAGGCTTTCTAGGAGGGTTTCGGGTGCTGTTTGTGTGCCTAATGTCGAAGGGCACGGCGCTGTTCGAGTGTAATCGTGTGTTTTCGAGGCATAATAGAGTTGGATAAGTCGATAATTAAAGGTCAGAAGGTCAATATCGCGAATATCGAGAATTGAGTGCGA